ATGTGATTAATTTAATATGACATATTAAAGACATTTCCAATAATACATGAATATAAAATTCAGTCAAATTTTTTTCCTATGTAGGCTTTGGTAAGTCGGGTAAGATCTGAAATATTTGATTGCAGTCTGCTTGAATATAAACTCCTGTATAATTCCTTTGAGAATATGCATCATGTGAAACATGATTTATAAAAATTCACTTTCACCTTTTTAGATACTATTTCACCCTATAATTTTGCAAGTTCATCTAACATTTTAATAATGTGCATAGGAAGTAATCGTTACAAAATTTAAAACAACTAGCCCTCAATATAATTATAGATAGTTAATTGTTATACTTCATCTTCTCATCGCACTACCTAATTTTGTAAAGGAAACTCCCTATGCAGATGATTAATATTTTAGTGGAATAGATTAACTGAATGTACTATCAAGATTTCCTTTTGACCGACTAGATAATGTAATGTGAAATGGCAAAATAAAATCTTCAAATTATGGAGTAATACTTTATTTAAAAAATATGCTGTACTGATAACAGGAGTAATTATGTGATAAATTAAGCGACATAGTACATTACTCACCTGTTTTTGAACATGCAAACATTCTCCTAATTTTCTACAACTGATTTTGATTATTTAATTAAGGTCATAGTCGCCTTAAATAAATGTAAATGTGTGACACACAAAGTAGATGTTCATGTACTTTTTTTAAAGCACATTCCTCGCGTCTAGCCTACTGATAATGCCCGACTGATTAAACGATACCATAGAGAGTGGTTATGGAATAGGTAATAAACTGGTTGAAACCCAGGCCGTTTGGTAACTATGCTATTAAATTTAATATTGTGTATGTGATTCAAATGATTTTATTCTTACTAAAATAAACAAATGAAACGGAGTGATGATTCTTACTATTTTATCTTTTCATACTAAACAACCTGACCATGTTTAAGATCACGTAATAATGTAATTTAAGTGACAATCTCTACAACCTTCATTCTAAAAACTAACCATTCATCGGACATGAATAACTTCTAACCACTAATGACCATACCACTAAACAACTAAAAAGAAAAGAAAATTTTAGGAAATAAAAATTGACAGAACTAAAAATATTATCTTACGGTTATTTTTTGTTTTCTTATATTGGGATGTGACCGTATAGATATGAAGACTTAAGTATGAAAAATAGCATATTATTTCGGTATGCTATAATTAGAATGGTTTTGCTTGAATGTATACCAAAGATGATAAAGTAATGTAGGTGCATGTAAAGGGGCTCTGAATAAGTTCACTGTAAATGATCTAACAATTTATTTCAGTTTTAATTTTATTGTTTTGTTAGGTAAGATTTATTATTTAAACGCTTATAGTTTTGGCAATCTAAAATTAATATAATGAAATTTACTTCTCATAGTTTACCTCTATTCTTTACACCGTTTAAATAATAATCTCCTTTGAACAATCTCATTAATCAATAAATAAATTCTAACTTATAAGTTGTTTCTAGTTGATTACCATATGTGACTTACTTGATAAGAGTAGTGTTAGAAAGGTAATCTTTTTCTAAAGTTAAACAATTATTATGAACTCAGTGAATTCAATTAATCCTCAGCTGATTTTCTTCGACTGTATTGATAGGCATGTAAATACAAATACTATAATACATTGAGCAGGCTTATACCCTAAAACATTTTGGTTATTATCGCAAGACAATTCGGACACTGAATGTCACTTTTCAGGTCATTTTGATAAACCATTAGAGAGGGAAGTCGTCTGATGGACCTTCAAGAACTTATAACCCTGACTTCATTAATCCTATTTATTAGTGAGATAACTAGTAATAAAATTGTATGTTGAGGGATTCTCTAATTGAAAAATAAAATGAAGCACATTGTGATTTAACGTTAGTGAAAAAATATTTGGTCATCTCTCATTCCAGCGGAAAACAAATTTTTCATTTGAATCGATGGTACCGTATGGTTTTCTACGTTTATTATATTCTCGATTTCCTGATATATATTAATAAAGCTGTATGTATGAAAGCGATTACTTGAACGTACTGCATATGTCGAATATATCTTTCGGGCTATCTTATAGAAAGTCAATCAAGAGAGAGCCATATGAACTTGAAATTCTCTTAGCATCATATTATGTGTAACATTGTTCTCAGTGAATTAGTTTATATGGTTTTTGAATTTTTACTAGTGAAATTTAAATTTAATGAATTAATTAATTTATCAGTGTGGGTTGGATTTTCTGACGTTTCGTGGCTTAGTGTAAGTCACTTCTTCAGAGAATAAATAACCAAATAACCAATTTGGTTATTTATTCTCTGAAGAAGTGACTTACACTAAGCCACGAAACGTCAGAAAATCCAATTTTCTACTCATTGGGATATTACAAATATATTATTTTTATTTATAACAATCAACCCAATGCTCGATTTATTCGAAATTATCAAATCAAACCTTGGTAGTGACACCTACTTATCAGTGTGGGGTTGTGGAGATTGTTAATTATTTGATTGAGATCATGAATCGATAAATGTTAGACTATCATTGAAAACCTGGAAGCACTGAACGGTCGTTCAACAGTATGAACGGATGAATTTGGAAAGAAACAACTTTTAAAAGATAATTATAAATTAGTTTAATAATTTGTTTAATGAATAACCTTTCAATGAGGAGTTTTTTCCGTTAAGAGAGGCTTCACTTAAACTTCATTATATGAATTCTTTTTGCATTCTTCTCGTAACTAACTTAACATCTCAATTGTCTTAGGTCTATTTTATTGAAAAATTACTTGATAATCTGACAGTCATAAGAATAACATGAAAAGCTATAGTTTGCTCCAACCATAGAACATTAGCTATATATAATCGGTAAATGTGGTTGATTAATATCGATATTCTGTAAATAGTAAACTTATAATTTCCAAGAAGTTTCTTCATTGCCCATCCAAAAACCAGAAACTGCAATTTTATATATCGAGCCAACTGAGGAAAACAGACTTTGCTGAAGTTTATCTATACTAACAGCATCCAAATACTTAACGGTAACCCTTGAAATATCATACTAGCAACTTTATCATGAAGCCAATAGTTTCTGCATAAGATTACAGAAGTCACTAAGCTTGGGATCACATGAAAGCATTTTACCGAAACTTAACAAGTTACATTGCTTACAGTTAAATGAGCATTATTTATTACTTAATTTTATAGTAGTTATTACATTATAAACTTTGAACATAGGTGTGTAAGATATTAAACACTGATATTCTTTGCAACTAATTGATACAAAAGATAGTCAGAAATTTATTATAAGTATTTTAGCTACTGAACAGTAGTATAAGTTTATCAGTAAATATCTAGGTTTTCGATGAATCACCCAAGAATAATTACAAGTTGCTCTTAATCTCTTAGATTCATACCCATTGTCCTTCACTGGGTAGTTGATTAAATTGCCCTAAGTTCATAATCTTCGTTGAGTGAGAACGGTGTATATCATGGATATGTCAAATGTAAAAAAGTGATGATACTTATCTATTTACAATCATTTATTTTAGTATTTTTATTTTTACTATTCTTATTGATACATTTTGTCAAAAAGATACATTTATTTTTACTCTCGCTACTATTCTATACACGCCAAATGACCAAAATGGGTTTTAACAAGTAAACACTGATTGGTATCCTAAACAGTTTTTACTTGTAATAATCGCTACCATTTTGATCAGTATTCCAGAATAATCTATAGCATACGATTTGTTTCCAACATTTTATTCATTTAACTTTGTCTGAATGTTCACAACACCATTTTGACACTCGCTTAAGTTAAAAGCATTTCTTAAAGTGTTTTATACACATTTTGTAATTTTGAAAAATCACTGGTTGTAAGAGGTTGAAGAGAATCTAAGGAAGGAAAATGAACGGACGATAAACTGCTCAAACTGCTCCTCTAAATCGTTTCAAGCTAACAAACGGAACTATGTCTACGAAATTATCTAATACAAAAACATTTTTAAATGTTTCGCTAAATGTATAGATCCAAGAAAAATCCTAGATACCAGCTGGGAGATCAGTACATAAGGCTTAAGCGACGAAAACATCGTTTCGCTAAAAAAACAGCAGTGTTTTTTCAAAAATTGGCAAGACATTATAATTTGATGCTTAAGAACATACTACTCAAGTTATTTTCAATTTATCACCAGTTAGGTAATTTAACAAAAGTTTTTAATTGGTGACATTAACATTCATTTTTTAAAAGCAAGTTACTTGCGTGTAAGTGTGCTTTTCCTAGTGAAAAGATGTAATAGCATATAAGAAACAGAAGCCACCTGTGCACAATGAATAAAATACAATTTAGAGTGGTTGAAAACACATTGAGATACATGTACCATAGGTTAGTTTAAATGCTCATGTCACAAGACCAAGATCGATGATCCTACACAAATAATCAAGCATCTGCCTATCAGTACATAAACAAAATAGTAGCCGATTGATGAAATCTGACAGCCTGCCAAGAGGATAAGGATTTTGTCGTTTCATAGCATTCAAAAAATAAAACATGATCAGACATAAAAAGAGGAAACGTTATAGTTGTTCTTTGGGTGCTTGTTTTTCTAAATCCAGATTATGTACTAATTGTAGACTTTTTCCTTCTAAACTTTATTTCATCTCGACCCATTGACATACCATCATCGCTCTCAATCGGAACGCTTCATTCATCATCTTCAACACCCCTTCAAATCCAATCATGGTATCATGATTAAACATCGGTAACCACTCCACGAAAATTAAAAATGAAAACCCGGGATGAATGTATATCAATATCATTATCTCAATACTCTACATCAAATGAAAACGAAATCGAAACAATGCCTGCTAATATATTTAACGAAAATGACAACATAAATGATGATCAACAAATCATTGAACCTGGTATTTATGATGAATCATATTACGATCTAAAAATAAAACACCTAAATTGTAACCTAAAGTCAAAACAGGGTGATATTAATCAAAGTTTTCTACGAGCAGCTAGGGCAGGAAATTTGGAGAAATTACGTGAATTACTCAACAAAATAACAGACATCAACATCTCGAATACTGTGAGTTATTTTCAGTGAATTTTTATTTGATAATTCGTTAAATAACAAATAAAATTGTTGTCTAATTTGTTTTGTAAACCCATTATTTTCCAGCTAACACTTGGAATACAGTATTTACCGTGGAAGATTTTCTTACTAACTTTCCATCACGGCTGTACTTGTAAGTTCCAGGAGGGTTATGCAGAAAATGTAAACGCTAAGTTGTAAATGAAGGCTAGTCTTTCTTAAAATAGATTAAGCTTTCTGGCATTTTTCAACCGCTTTCAATCAATTAGATAGGTGAACTTCTCCCTGAAGATTTATATGTTTATAAGGATAATCCAGTCCATCAACTAAATCTCATAATCAATTAGGTATCCAGAAAACTAAATGGACACTATTAATTGATGTAATTTGACTTCAGTATATGCTAATTTCTAAAACAACAGTGAAAATCAGAAGAGGCGAAAACTGAAAGTAAACGTTTTAGAACGCAAGTAAGTTTTGATCTAAATCAGTTTATTCGAGTGATGCTTTGTAGATCAAGGGGTGTGCAATAAAAACATTAGTTTTAGCGTTGACCTGGTTTCAAGGAGGGACCTAATATACCACAAATAAATTACAAGTTGTAAACTGATAAGTTTACCGTTTACTAAGTCAAGGAATGCATTATCGATGCACTCACTTGGCTATTAGTTTCATCTTTTTCACATGTCAAATGATTTTTTAAATCATATTTGACTTGCAAAGCTATAAAATCAGTGTTACTCTTCTTAACTGATTTCTATGAAACAGTATTAATAACACTACACATTTTCACAAAATATGTTATATGAGTTACTTTTACATCCGAGCATTAGATTATATAATAAAAACACTCCGTTACAAGACACTAAATTGAAATAGAATTTTTAACTAGCAAAAGTACAAACGCGCATAGAATGAGTGTATTTATTCAACATCTTCTTTATAATCCAGGATTTTTTTAAACCAATAACTTAGCTCGTGCCCAATGAATTCATATAATGTGAGATTTTCTATGAATTCGATGAATGAATTTTATGCAGAGACTATGTACCCTAGATTTACGTTTCTTTTAACTCTGACATGGTATTAGTAAAAAGCAAATATATAGTGGGTCAGTGAACTTGGAATTTCTACATTTTTCAGCTACCCTATAAGATTCTTACTAGATGAGATAAATCTAATTAGTAGAATAGGGAGATGCATAATAGTTCGTGATTCATAAAATAAGTCTGTCGATAGCGTAAAGAGCGTCTGAAAATAATGACAGTCTTCATAAAAAGTATTTAAATCGGTAGATTACAGCTTGAGGCACGACTTCAAAGATGACCAACAGAAACGTAGCCCAAAAATGTTCAAAATTTGGTCAACAATTTTTGTATTTTCATAGTCTACGTACGAGACCGATGGTTTTAGGTTCAGTTCGTGAATGCAGGATCGAAGGTGTGCACTACAGACGAGTTTCATACTAGAAGGAAACGGCTGTCCAATAATTTCAGGTTTTTGATGATGGTCTAGCTAAGATTTCCTGATCTGCAAAAAACATTGTATTCCTATGAAAACTGAAAGCTAAAACATTATGTAAAGTGAGATCCTCAAAGTAACTGACTTGTTTTCAAAATCGTTACTAACTGAGTGGGTTCAAAATATATGATCTGAAAGAACCGCTACCTATAGGTAGGTGACAAGCATAACATACTTGTTTATGGTTTGACACTTATTACAAAGTTTTAAACTAAGGTCCAATAGGTCGCTAATTAAGGAAATTGTTCATATTGATTATAGCTTCTACCATAGAAAAAGAATATATCGTTAGTTACGGTGGGTTGTAAGGGACGTTTTATCCAGGAGATATATAAGAATTCAACGTGAAAATTCTTTGATATATCAAAGATTGTATTATGATAAGTAGAGTTATATTTAATCTAAAATCATCTAACCTGCTTGCCAAGAAACAACAGCAATGAAACTGTTTATATATTATGAGTACCTTTTTAATAATACAGCAATTAATTAACCCTTCACCTCTCATCAGGTGCTTTTTCTAGCGACTGATGAGACCAGTAATCAAGATATAATACTTCGGTTCATTATTATGGAAATCTATTTATTTGAACAATTCATTATTTCAGTCTCCTATAATGCAGATATTATACTACTTTTTCAATTACTTAAGGTGCAAATGAGATCTTACTTTGTTGTTAACCGATATTATGTAAACAGCTCTTAATCATAACCTTTTAGTAAAAACCAGACGGATTATAAAAAAAAACTATCTTACAAATAATAAAATATTCAAAATGTTCTCGAAACTTAAAAACTGATATGAAAAAATAACCACACGTAAGGCGTTTACTAATTTCGAAAACTGTTTCGTTTGTTAAAATAATCACATCTACTAAACAACATTTTAAAACGAAGTCATCGAACAATATAAATCATACACCAAAAAGTATAAGAATTTTCGATATACATAATAAAATATTATGCGAATTTATAGATTATCTGTGATCTTAATTTCTAAATGTAACTTGACCACCCAAAGTTTCTTTAAGTTCCTTTTATATCTTCAGTATACAGATAAAAGATTATTAACCAGTAGAATTTATGGAATTCCCACAATGCTATGACAGTGTATTTAGTAGATAAATATAATAATTATAAAAAGAGTAATAACCAGCCAACCTGAGTTCGAAATAATAAAACTGTGGCGGGTACATTACTACCGGACTCATGAATAGTTTGAAATCATCTATAATGCATTTTTGTTTCTAATGCTGTAGGTATTCTTCAATTGCCATCTGCCCTTCTTAAAAGGCGGACTGAAAAGCAATTATTTCTGGCCTTAAAGAAAATTTACAAAAAAATCCTTTTCTTCTTTTTAATCCGATTGTACGGTTAACTTATAAAACATTATGACACAAATTGATTCTTCTAGTGAATGATAAGGATCATCTCATAACATAACCATGGCAACACATTCAGTCTAAGCCATGTTTAGAATCAGAATCATTTTTTGACCTATTTATAACAATTTGGTGGTTCTCCAGATGGTATGTACTAGTGATTAAAACAATATTCAAACATAAGAAACCTGTTTTTTGGCAATATGTGAACCGTTCTTCAAACTAGCTGCTAGTGACTGAAACTGAATAAATATTCATATTTTGAAGTCGGTTCTTCTAAGAAATGAAAGATCGTGACAGCCATTTTAATGGCAAGTGCTTTGCAGTCTGATTAGGAAGGTAATATACTGTGCTAGCTTTAAGTTGCCAGAATTTTTCAAAAATGACCTAAGGCTATATTCAAGTTCACCTTTTGATTTTAGTGGATTATTATTTTGGTATGGACCCTTAAAAATACTTTTAAAGGGTTTTCGGCTTATTCTAAATGTACAAATAAAATCAGGCGAGTGGCGCGACCAAATGAAGCGGCCGTAGAATGAACCTATAAACTGATGAATTTTATTAAATGAAAAAACACAACCCATCTCAATAGAAAAAAATTTCTAAGGAATAAAAGTCGATAAAACCTTTGGTTTTATTAACCCCAAAGTGTTTAATTAAGAATTTGCAAATTCACTACAGATAACCATACTTGTTTCTTCAACGACTTCATTAAATCACAAAGAAAACAAATCGGTTCAGAAGGCAGTTCGAATTCAAGTTTCAAGAAGGGAATTTTTTATGAGGATTGAGCCAGATATACAAAGGTATTCATTCAATTTGTTGCGCAAAGTCGCATGAAACAGGACGAAATGGAATAATTTAGAAAAATTACCACTATATATTATATTTAAAAGTGATGAATGCATAGCTTATTTGGTGGTATACAGTTCTTGGAAATATGAGACATACCAATATAAAGAAAAAATGGCTAATCACTTACTTGAACACACAAGACTAGGTACTTCAGAAATTGTTATAATGAGCGTAAAGTAAACGTACTCTGATTCTCTCTGATGTACTCATCAGTGGAAGAATCTTAATAGACAAGTATCTCTATGATAAAGCTGTCTATGTATCGATAACTATAAAATTGACAACTAAGGTAATTATAATCTTCAAAGTCAGTGTATTCTGCTTATCTGTTTAGCTTACTAGGCTCCATCCATCGAGTCTAAACACTGATAGCTACAAGCTCAGAATCTAAGTTTTAGATTGACTGACTTTTGAAAAAATTTCTATTCCGGAAGGCACATTTTAATCACGGATTGTAGACAAATGAAGAATAAGTAATTATAAATCAGTAGTCAGGACTCCTCGCAAACAAGTACCCACAGTCCCATGCGATATCGAGAGCAAGATATTCAGATATTGTGGAAAGCGCAAAATCATTGAGCTACTTATTGGAAATCCGGTGGTTCCTGTCTTTGACAGGACAGTAACAATGTGAGATTTGATATAATTTCCTCAAACCTTATTAAATAATAATCATATGTTAATTAGTAATTAGCTAGGAGAGAGAAATTTTGAGGTTACAATCGGAAACTATTGCCTGTGGAATTAAACAGTATATGCAACGTCTACTGTAAAACCTGTAAAACTTGATTAACCTAATCAGTCAAAAGTAGTTGTAGTTGGAATGCCCTTTTCGAACTTAGTCGAAACATTTACAGCTTAGTCATGAATTTTAGAGTTTCAAACGGTATATGTTTACAGAAATAAATTAGCTACCAATACAGAGACGTTCCAATAGACTGGCTATGTTGAGTGTTTATGGTGTCTTTTGGTTTATGCTACCTGCTGAGAAATAGATCTTTTGGCATAGAGAAACATTTTGAAAAAATATGCTTCAAAATGAATCAAAATACCTTCCTTATTTCTGAAACTCAAACATTATCTCTGTTTAAAACTTTTTATTGGTTAGAAAATCATGACTTTCAAACTATTACCATAGCGACGTAAGGATAAGCATATATGCTTATATAAATGTTTCTTATGTTTCTTATACTTTGAAATTACGGAAGCTAAATTTAGAGCTATATTTTTTATCTCATTGATTATATGGTTTCTGGTTTGACTTTTGTATTAATGAATATAAGGAAATTGTTTTGATTACATTTTATTCACTTAGAATTCAAAATGAAAACTGAATTTTTTGTTACCCCTTTGTTCACCAATGAATTACTTTAAAATGAATATTAGACAGTCTTCATAGAATGATGAGTCAAATAAACCAGCCAAACCAGAAGTGAGAAAAAAATGTCAATGATGTGTTACATATCTAGAGCTTGGAACCTTTCAACCACTGAATCCTGACTGAATAGTTATATAGTAATGCACTCCTCTCTGATACTTCACTTAGGGTATTTTGTTTTGAATGCATTGATCACACTACTGAGATGCCACAAACCAGAATAAGGCAATAACTAGTGCCTCCCAGTTTTCAGCTGTTCTTTCGACGATATTAGTTTTCAGTGAAAACTATCTTCAAATCCTTTATTTGGTATGACCTGAATACCGTAGCATGTATGAAACATTTCACCCCAGTTACTTTGAAACCTCTAGTTTACAACCTTAGGTTTGATAGAAAACAAACAGCACACAATAATACGAAGAAAAATAAGTAGAAAAACAGTTTAATAAGGTTTTCATAAAAAATTCAATCATAACCTCAGAATATTAGTTCTTCAATTCGTTTATTTGGTCAGAATGTCCAAACAATTAAAAGAAAGAGTTAACAAGCAAATGATGTTCGTTAATTCTGATAAGTCGATATAAATCCTCACATTATTTGTGTTGCCACATTGAGGTTGGTAAATATTACCTCTATGGTGTGAATAACCAGCACTAACGTGTCATCTTGAAACAGTAGAATAACATTGCCCATAAAATGTTTTGTATGTATTTTATTCTCATTATCAGACTTTTAACCTTCATATTTATCTTTTGTATTTCTATTTTTTACAGAACGGACTGAATGCGCTACACTTAGCGTGTAAAGAAGGCCGAACTGACGTTGTAAAGGAATTATTATCACATGGCGCGTCAGTTTATATGATCACAAGAAAAGGCAACTCTGCTTTACATATTGCTAGCCTTGCAGGACATCTAGAGATCGTAAAATTGTTAGTTGACCATGGGGCTGATATAAATGCGCAGTCTCAAGTAAGAAGTTCAGTAAAATAGTTTAAATGCGGCTTTACATGGTAGCAGTACGTAAAATATTTACTTCAGTAGGTCATCAGAGGATATGTATTTAATTTGTTTTAAGTACCCAGGGTTAGCTTTTATGCTTGATAGGCTAGTTCCATTCAAAAGTGCATGTCAGGACACATCATCTTTATAAATCTTGAAACATCCCGGCCTCATGAAAAGTTGGGTAATCTTGTTATTAATGTATATTCTAGTCTTAGATGACAGACGTCCCTTTTAAAAGTCTTTATATTTTAAAGCTGAAGGTAAATAATTTATGTCATTCATTGAATAGGTATCTGAAAATCATAACTGTGTTTTTATGTAATTACAAAACTGTTGTAACTTGTGGCTTTGTGCCCAATTAATATATAACATAATGATACTTCTAATTAGAGGACAGTGATTTATCGACCGGACAAATGACGCGTAAACCCGTACGAGCAGTCTAGAGTACTTATCGGTCTTTCTTCCTGCCTAGCCCTGCCTATTGAGTCCAGAACACAAATCTCAGCCTCTGAGATATGAATCATGTGTTTCAAACATATTGGGTTTATATGCAAACCAAATAGATCACATCACACCACAAAATGGCAAACAACATTTGTACAAGATCTAGCCAAAAGTGGCTGTGAATGTGGGAGACTGTAATTAATAGACCGGGTATAACTGCAGAACGGTAAACCGTATAATAATAGTCTATGGGTCAAAATAACGCTTATAATAAGAGAAACATGAATATGGATAGTTTCATTACGTAAAAATTATACAACAAAAATATATGTATAGTAACTGTTCATAAATGGATCCCAACAGTTACCATTCGATATTCTCGTCGGGATATAACAAAAAGAGTAATTTTTAACTTTAAGTGTCTTAAAAGGTATATGTGTAGTCAGACAGTTCGAAATATATTGTGTTAATCTATCATGTAGTATTCTCTTTGGATGATCTAGAGAGACTAATTTTTTTAAAGACAGTGGTATGGCTAGTATTTGCAGAACATAGCCTATTCGCTTCTATGTTTATCATGCTAACGGTAGTTTGTATGGTAATAATTTTATTAATGAAACACAGGCCAATTGGGACTTGTGGGGGTTGTTGAAAACTTAAATAATTCGAATCACACTCAAATGAACCAAAAATGACCATTTTCTTCTGTCACATAACTTTGAAAAAGTTTGAAAAATGATGAACAGCAACTTCTTAAAATAAGAAGAAAGAGACATTTAGTATCATTTTTTCTACACAACACAATTTCAGGATTTTATGAATAGAATGTCTTAAAATACTTCACCTGTTTTGTGACGTGGAGAACCACCACTAAGATTCGAACCGTCAGTGTAAGACTATATGTTACCCGGCATATACTAAAATTGGTCAATAAACTCCATTTATTTAACACAGAGTAATGATCAAATACATCTACTTATCACAAATAGATCCAGTAAACAAATATGCATTAATTCAGGATGCTAATTTTCTAACTGCAAAGAACACTTAAATGAAGTATATCGAAGTGCAAAACAAGATCATAAGTTCAAAAGAAATGCTCAGATATCAAAAGATGATGATTTAATACAAGTTTGATACGCATAAACCCACCTAAAGTAGACACTGGATCACTAACTGCCGATTTTTAACATTTTATATACTTTGCCTCGGATATTTACAGTCTACAAAGCGTCGTCTAAGCGTAAAAAGGTTTCCCACGCTATTCAAATGCTCCATTTTTGTACATCAGATTAGCTGGTAGCCAGATTTTCAAAATTTCTGTTCAGTTATTACTATATTAGAGATTACTTGCAAGCCGTTTAACCAAGACCACTCTTCATTTCTTAGTCACTATGACATCGCCTCCACCCCTTAAGAAGCAAAATAATCATCATCTCCAAGATCCTTAGTATTATAATCAAATCATGCTGCATATGCAAAGTATGTTTTTCAACATTGAACACTTTGATGCTTATTCTTTCATTTAGTTGTGATATAGAAACAATTGGAATTCAGAGATTACTTCCTGTTTGTTAGCTGTAACAGATAATTGTGTATCAAAGATAGCAAGCCAATGAAAAATGAGTTTTCTTTATGTTTTTAGTGTTTCTGATATATTACTGTGTTGGGATTGGATACAAATCGCAAACTAAATAAGGTTTTTTAATAATTATCATCAACAAATTATCCTACGTATTGGTTGTTCTTACTGTTTGGGAAAAGAGGGGATGAACTACAAAGACTTAAGGAGGAAGTGAAATCGAAGAAAACAATATAAGCAATAGGAGAAACTTATGAAAAGAAATCATTTCAGGTGACAGTTGTGTCTGTAAGCGGTGTAATTTATTGATTTTATGGGAACTGGATAAATGAACCAACAGTGATTTCGTGCTGATGTTATTACATAGAAAAAGAATACTTAATTGAGTAATTGACATCCGTACGCTAATTAATTATATGTTATTCACTGGTGGACTACAATTAATGATCTTCAATGCCTAATATTTGTAAAAATGAAACTGAGGCAGTATAATTTATATAAAATGACATCTTGTTTATGAAAATGTTGTTTAATACATAAGATTGAGTCGATTTGAATTTCTTTTCATTCAGAACGGATTTACACCTCTTTACATGTCGGCTCAAGAAAACCATGTTGAAGTTGTTCAGTACCTTCTAGACAAATCTGCTAATCAGTCTTTATCAACGGAGGTTGGTTTAATCATGTTTAGTTAAAACCGTTTGTATTTACTTTTAATAAATTGTACTCTTTAAATAACATCTCCAAACACTAATTTTCCTGATTACTGCTTATACTCTTATTACCTCTACCACTACGGGATTTGAATCGACCACTGCATCTCTGTGCTAATGTGGTGTGGCAACTCGAACTGACGTACGTACGTACGAAGGTCTACGTTGTTACTGACTGACTGACTAATAAATTAGCATTGCATTATTTTACTAAAGAATTAAAGATATGAAATGATGGAGAATATTTGGAGTTTAATAGAATGCTCTTGGTGGTAGTGTGTTATTAGAGCTCAGTGATTTTAGTGGAAACATTCACTGTCGTTCTGATAAACATTTTTAGCCCCTACTTCATATAGATATCAGTGAATGTTTTTCAAATAAATCATATGGCTAAGAGAGCACATCACTTCAAAAAATAAAGATTTGCTAACTGGTTGCAAAATTATTTGAATTTGTATCAAGTAACATATTATCTATAATATTTCTCACACATATACTTTTTTGGTGGTTTTCCATTTATTTTTGAACCAAATCTTTATTTGTAAGCGTTTCCGAGGGTGTCCTCAAGTGACTTTAATACTCATTAGAATTCATTTATGAAGAGACTCCGGCTACTAGTTTCAAATGATGATCCCAATCATACTTACTTAGACGTATAAAGTGGAGACTTCAAATCAGAAGGACTCTGATGTACTACTTATTTATTCAGACAATAAATAACCGTTCTCCTTAGTCCTAAGAAAAAATGGTTCGAGGACTCATATAGATTTGCTTGCCCTTATGATATGTTGCGAATAATTAGGTTCCATTATTGCCATTACCATTCATTGTAGCTCTTTAAAAATAAACCATCATCTTTAAAATGAATGTGATTCTTTTTAAGCTTGATTTATTCATTGTTTTATATGGTAAATCTAAAATGTACTGGGTCATTCTACTCTTGTAATTGTTTTTTGTTTTACGAATCGATGAGTGAATTCTATCTGTCATCCTTCATAATCAAATTCTACCGGCGAAGTTTATTCTTAATGAATTAATAAGGAAACTAATTTCAACCGGTTTCTAACCACAAACGCAACAAATAAACAGGAGAAATCATCAATAAACCGATTTTTGTTGAAAGTTGTAGGCATGAGTAAATGGTTCCCCCACATTTGTCAATATTTCTTAACTTCAGAGATATTCTCCTGGAGTTTCTGTCAATTATTGATCACGTGTTAATAAAACAATTTTTCAAGTATTAGAAGAATTTCAAAATGCTTATTCTAAATAAATCCATATGATGAATGTATGAATCAGTTTAACTGACTACTTGTCATAGTATTCATTGAAAATGTTAAATGTAATTTAGTGGTTTATATCATAAGAAAATGCCAAGTATTAACAAAACTTAAACTGTGTGTCAATACTTGGCATTTATTCTAATCATTTTTACTGTTTCAAAATAATATCTACTACTCAAATAGCCTTACAGTTAAATAATCGTTATTTTACAAGTTTCTATGAAAAGCGTTGGTTAGTTTAACAGAATAACCAACGGATTATATCGTTATTTAATGACACTGCATTTTTATCTTTCGTTACTATAACTTTCTTAATATTAGCTTTCCTTTAATAAAAGAAAAGGTTTGAAAGTTATCTCCTATCTACAGAGTAATCTATTTTGATTATCCTTTCAAGGGAAGTTATTTCATTACATACAATGATATCAAATATTTGATGTTCAAATGGTTTTGTGTAAACCTTTCCATTACCTGTTGTGTGTTATTTCCATTTTTTTAAAAATGAATTCATTATACATTTTAACTATAGACCATTGAGTAAAATCAATGATGGTGTGCTAATTAACTTTGTGTGAGATAATTTATAAACTGAGTAAAAACTGTCTGCAGACAAGCTTTTTACTGAGGGTAAACAAAATTCATGTCTCATAAAAACTACTGTTTAATTTATTAATAATTGCATTACGAATCTTAGTGACTAAAAATTAGTGTATAATCTAAGGTTTCCATAAAATAGGCATTTACTGGAAATCGGGACAGTAATTTATAAAAATATCTAGTTGAGATAACTCCATTTAGGTTCCTGCCTTAGGAACATTAAATAATCATATTTTTGGCTAAAAAGTAAACTATTCTAACATAACGAGTAATATAAGCAGCGCCTTCTGGTAAGTAGAATTCGAAATGGTTGGCATCACCATTTAACAACATAATCTGATGTAGTTTTCATTAAAATAAACTACTCGCAATGTATGGAGCAACAAGTATACTTTCTGTGACCATATATTACCTTGCGATTAGGTTTTATTTATAAGATTATTAAATTTGAAAATCTACACCTAAATGTCACCACCTTAACTGCAAAGCTTGGTTTGTTTTAAAATATTTGTATTCTTTATCAGGATCAGGGATAAAGTGTTTTTTTTATAAATTTAGTTCAACTGACAGAATTAAGGGTATAACAACAAAGAATTTGAATATATTCGACCGTATCGAAAAATAGAATTATATACTTTCTAAGGAAATCAGATAACTCCATTAGCTGTTTAAATGTTTCTGAAGTATCTCTCCATAGATCGCATGTAGGATTTTTTGGAAGTGAGGTAACGATCTTAGTAAAATTCTCGGTTTACGGGAATATTTTACAATGTAAAACTGAACCCTTATGTAAGCTTGTTGTTGACACTCAGCTATGGATTACAATAATTCGGTTATTATGGGCATCAAATCCATACTTAACCCTAATGTGATCATAGTAACACTGTAGACGTCTTAGTAGTTATAACAATGAAAATGAAGGTTGGGCAAATACGTTACCAGATTATTAGTGTCTATTTATTTTGGAAATGTTTGTCAAATACCACTCTTAGTCTGCTGCTCAAAGCAAAACAGCAGTGTATGTAAAGTATGAAGTTCAGGAATTCAAAATTTTTCATTCACTTCTCATATAAACTGTTTAAAGTTCCCGAGTCATTGAAAGCGTAATACCCATTTTTAGAATCTAGACATTTGAAAAAGTTAACGAGAGATACATCCTATCTGCAACATATTCACGGCTATTTTGAAATTTATTTTGGTCATCAATAAGGATTAGGTATATGATAACCCATCAGTGATTGGTTTGTCTGGGTTTATTCACTTGTTTTAATTTATAAACTAAACAGATTTAATCAATCATACATAACATATCCTGTTTTTATGAACTCTTTTTGCGTACATTCTTACATCAAACCCTTGTGAAGATAAAACTAATTATCTTACCGATGCCTCCCAAGCCGCTTGTGAGTAAGCGTTTCCGAATGCAACAATAAGGAAAAATCAATAGAAGAAATAAGATAACTCTTAATCAATGTTGGATATGATACAAAAGTAGATTAGTGAAAGGTAATACATGTTAAAGAATAATAAGAGTCGTTTATAGGTTTAATGTATGAATATTTACCAAGATAAAATTATGAAGGGCATTAAGATAGGTTTTTAGAAATAAAAATCTAGCGTCATAAATTTTGTGACACAATGGTTGTATAGCACGTTTCAATGAATAAGGTTCACGCAGCAAGCAACATTGAAATTTACTTAACCTATTTTAAATATTACCGAAATAAACTCGCTGTTTTGAATCATGAAAGTAAACTGAATAAAATAAGAATACGAAAGTAATTACAGTTTATTTTCAAATAAGCTAATAATGAAGAAACAATGTGAAACAATCTTTCTGGTAGTACTTATCTTATAACAGTACAGATACGTTTATCATTCTGTTTGGTGAAGAAGTTTTTTTTGTCGATATCACTAATTCCGTATAACCTCAACTTTAAACTAAAATGTTTCTGTTTTGTATTTTCTGTGCACTGAGATTCCCAAATTAATGCTTATTTACTATACCATGTTTCCCTATTTGCTTTATTCAGGATGGTTTCACACCACTTGCAGTGGCACTACAGCAAGGACATGATCGTGTTATAAGTCTGCTACTGGAAAGGGATTCTCGCGGAAAAAGTCGCTTACCCGCACTACATATTGCTGCGAAGAAAGATGATGTTCATGCTGCTAAATTGTTACTCAATAACAGCGAAATAAATGTGGATCACACATCGGCTGTGAGTGCTTTTTGCAGATACTAAATATTGTTTTACACACCAAATAAGGATGATTTTGACTGCGTTATCAATATTATAATAAAGTTGCCTGTGATGGATATTATTTTGAGTTTATTTATTGAAGAGGAATATGGAGGAACTATGGACTAATCAGTAACCGTACCACTCTGATAAATAATAATTTAATCAAATATGAATAGGACTGTTAAATGAAGTCGTAAAAAACAATGAGTGACGAATTAAACATTTTGAATTTTTCGTAATGCAGTAAATTATACAGCACAGTTTCTTCGTTGTATCTACATAAATCCACAGCGAATACGAAGTACATCGAAAAGTTAGCCTCCTGAAAATAGAACTAAACATGTCGAAACGCATTAACAAAGCTTCATTTCTGGATAGCTACCTTCAAAAAATGTGTTCGAACGCTTATTTTCAGTTTGATTTCTTTCTTATCATAAATACCATCGTTATATGATAGAATCTTATGAGGACATCACCTAAAAACCTAAAGCATTGATTTAAAAGGCTTTCTTACATATTCTCGATAAATATTTTGGACGGAATTGCGTAATGTGACTACAGAATATGCATAATATTTTTTCAGTTATGGATGTCAACCTTATTTCTTTAGGTTGTATTACTTCCTGTAATGCCCTTGATAAATATGCTGAAAAATGCTAGCCTATGACTCACATATAACTGCATTAATTAAGATTGCATCGAGAGGTTTTAAAGTTGAAATGGTTTAAGTTAATCAAACCATATATAAAATTAAAACTAGAACCTTGTTATATACACATTTATGATATTCATTGAAGTTATTACTTATATAGTCTTTCATTCATCATTTGTTTCATGGCAGTATAGCACGTTTACTTGCTAATTTTGTGATGTCATTATACTTTTACAGAGTGGATTTACGCCTTTACACATTGCCGCTCACTATGGGAATGTTAATATAGCTAAGTTGTTGATTGAGAAAGGAGCAAATATTAATTACCAGGCAAAAGTAAGTCCCGTTTTTATCATTACTCGATCCAGTATCTTGTTAAAGAATCAATTAGTTTCAGAGATAATATATAATCAGATCAGTACTGACCAGTTGATAAGCTTGATCTTAATGACATTTCACTTATTCATGTATACATATAGTATTGAACCAAAAGAGTAGTTAGGACAAGAATGGATTATGGCTAGGTTATGAACTCAAAAGAGTTTGGTAGTCTCAATCAGTGATGCTGAAAACTTTAGGAACGCAAGTTAAAAACTTATTAGTCGTTAGTTATCTGAGAAATATATTATCTATTTCAGGGAATACAATGATAAAATTATTTCTAAAGATAATTACATTTTAAAACTAGATTAACTAATTTTTAAAAATTATCACTATGTTGAACTGCCTATAAAAAAAGGAAAATACGCTTTTCAATGGATTATTGTCAAGTCCTACAGTCATAATTTCAATTAATGACAAAAAGGAATTTATTTCACTTGGGATGAAACTCATTTTTATTAGCAGACTGCACATGTAAGTAAAATAGGTTTTTTAAAGTCTGTTACTTAACTTACGTAAGGAAAATATATTCTTCAGTTTTGCCTGAATGAGTGTTACAACATATGACATAGTCACTAATGAATTTTGATAATAGGTACTCAAGAATGAAAGAAATATTGTTAGTAATTATTCTAAATATAACCAGTCACCAGTGAATTATAGGTCAAATTGATAAAATTACTATACTGTAGAACTTCCGTTTTATCTCTCACCTTATATAGAAGACATTGAGAACTGTGGAAGTAACATAGTAAGTAAGAACGTTTTGTCTAAATAGATGACCTATGAATTTCTATGAATCTTTGTCAACCTAGATTAATATTCAGAACCTGAGACAACTGATCTTCATAACTCGCATTGATAATTCACACGGTGTATCTGTAACAAAGAAAATATGTGCACTTCCCCGACCTCAGTGATTGATGATATGGATTCTTAGTCTCCGGTACTGTGACGCAAATGTTATTTATGTGGTATATATAGTCTAATAATTATACTTACATCTTAGCGTCTTGTCTTATAATCCATTTTGTCAGTCATATTTGTAGGGTTAAGGTAGTTTCAACTGCCCTGCTTCTTTTGTAATTATATCCATAAATGTCTTGGATAACCTCCAAATCATTTACATTTCACTTGACTGGAAACTATAGTTGAAGGATTTCTCATTTGAGTTTTTACTATGGAATTGACGTAAGCTGGTAACATAGTAGTTGAAAAATTTATTAATATGAGTCAATTTCCTTCAAATCCCTGGGAAAAAATCATGCTAACGTCTGTGTAATGAAATGAAAGGAAGATTTTATCTAAATGTGTCCGTTTTACATAAACGATGTCCCAAATATGAAGTATTAATCATAATTTTGATTTCTTTCTATATATGATGGAACAGAATTGTATAACACCGTTACATGTAGCTGCTAAATGGGGAAAGAACGAAGTTCTAAGCGAATTGATACTAGCAGGAGCTGAAGTAAATAGTCGTACGCGAGATGGACTAACACCTTTACACTGTGCATCTCGTGCGGGTCAAACTGCTACGGTGGAATATTTATTGAAAAATGGAGCTGATCACACTTTGAAAACAAAGGTACTTGCCACACTTTTTCTATGATGTACAATTTAATTAGTATATAGTTTATAGAAAATGATGTGAATACTGAATAAATATGACAAGTCGTACTGTCAGTTGTTTGAGGTTAGACATAACCTTTAACCTTAGCATATATTAGGTATGTCATCTGATGCTAACAGGGAATCATATCTTTAACAAAATGTACTTTATTTAAAAAGTAATGACTGGAGTAGAGTAGTCATTCACATTGATAAGGTTATTTTTTAAACCGAAGTTATATGAAACCTATATATAATTTATAGTATTTTGATTAAGATAGTCTGTAAATAATGATAGGACTGGCTGGTCGTGTTAATTTGTTGACTAACGACTTAACACATCACTATATTGGATATTATAAAATAACTTGTTTGAATAATTGGGTAAGTAACTTACATTTCTAGGATAGAAGACTGCAATTTTATGTTTAAAAGTCTGGTATATTACCTATTAAGCCACCATCAAACTTCAAATGCATTCGGGATTTTCGCAAACATTTAGAGGAGCTGAACTGATATCCGGTACTAGAAATATACATCAGAAATTTTTATTGAGATTAGGCGGTCAAATTATTTTACTCATCTCAATAAAATATGGCATTTGACCGTTATCTGGCAAACACATTTCGTGACAATTGGAGAAATATTCTGACAATATTTAGTGTTATACAACATCAAAGTAAAATGAAAAGAAATGACTGTTGTGTAATTTGTTTACACTAAGTTTTTATCAAACTAAATCTTCAAACAGATTTACAAGTTTTCTATACATCAAGACCCTATCATTCAATACCAATCACAAGTTATTAATAACCTTATCTTTAATTATTTACTTTATATCAAAACAATACAAAGGTTCATTGAGATGTGGACTATCTAATTATCAGTTTTTAATAAAGTTTTCACAGTAGAAATACTGACGAGATTCGCACGCTTTCTTTCCAAAATTTGTAAAGTTAAATCTGACATGTTCATTTTTAATCTTGGAAAATAGTTGAATAAGTGGTACTAATAATTCCCACACTTTTATTATTAATCTTTTATAAAGATGATACATAGAATGATCATTGTTGTGACTAGAGTATATAAAATACCTTTCTTCTTTGTGATATTTAGATGAGGTAGTTAACAAATTCTAAGAAGTGAAGAAACTATAAAAAACAATTCAATACTTAATATTCTTAGGATAAATGTTTCAACATTTGAATACGTAATTCTATTTCATATGTTTCTGTACATTTTTCTTGGCAGAATGACTTGACGCCATTGCATTTAGCTGCACAAGGTGCTAATGAAAGTGTTGTACGATTACTATTGCGGAATGGTTCTAATCCGGATGATGTGACCATTGTAAGTTACAAATAATATTTAAGGCATACTACATTAAGACCAAAGAAAACGTTGAATTAGTGTTGCTTCTAATAATAATTTGTGTTACCATAACAACTTATAATTACTTTTACCGATATTTTGATAGTATAGCATGCTTCTACCAATTAGAAACAACCTACTTAAATATCCCTTCATCTTAGCCTTGATTTATCGATTACTTTTCTCTCTAAAGGACGTCATTTGTTTTGAAAGCAGATTTTATACAAGTACTTGTAAAACAAACTTTAAATAATATTATTTCCACTCAAATAACAAAAGTCAACTTGTTTGACGTCAGAAATAACTAGACATCGAACCTTTCAATCATTGTCTCAGAATAGAGACAATCTTCAAGTCAAGCTCATTTTTAGAATCTTGCGTTATAAATCAGTATCCTCGATGAATCTTGTCCTTCGATGTCATGTTTCGTGAAAAGTCTTATAGAAATCTGTGGCTGAAGAAACATTATTACACTGTGAAGGAAAGTACTCTTCAAAAAATATTCTTAATTCGTCATTTTGTTTTTTCATTTGGAAATATACAAAATAAGAAAACTTGAAAGGTTTGTACCAAACTCTTATAATCGTTATTGTCTAATGGTTAAGCACTGCACCTGTTATTGTCTGTTTCTAAAGCATCTACTGATACCTAAACAACTAATTATCGTCATAAATTGAATTTAATTGCGTTTATGTAAGATGGTCACCTGTTATCATCAGCAGTATGTCTAACATAAAAAGGAATTGGTAACTGATATTTATATCTTACTTAAGTCATCTGGACAACATTCATTCATAGTATCGTCAGTTTACCAACAAATTTTCGTTGCATTCTTTGACAACCGATGTACAAATCATTAAAGTCTTCTGAATTTCCAAGTTATGAGAAGAGAATGGTGAACAACCTTTGCTACCAAGAATTATGTAGTTCACATACTGTTTGAGTTGGAGGTAGCGATAATTATCAATAGAAATTGCAAAAATCTTATAAAAATTCGTCTCGATTAATGTCTTATTTAATATTAACCAAGTGTGAACCAATAATTCAACTATAACACTCGTTAACAACGAGTTTACTTATGACTCATTAATAATTAACCGTAAATGAGGATACTACCGAGAATATAAAGCATAAAAACTTAACTATTTGTCAAACCATTTAAATCATCTCTGTCTTTTCGTCTCATAGGATTATCTCACCCCTCTACATGTTGCAGCCCATTGCGGTAACGTGGACGTGGCTCGTGCTTTATTGAATTCCCATTGTAATGTTAATGCAAGAGCACTGGTAAGTCAACCAAAGCAATAACTGGTAAAGTAAAAATTTACTTATACTAAAATAAGAACGTGAACAAATTTATCACTTGAAGGCTTATCAGGAAGGCAAAAACAAATATCCAGATTAGTCCAGCTGCTGAAGATAATGATTTAGTTCATTTGTAAACTAAACTGTGTACTGTAAGGGTTGGAGAGTGATCTAGAGGGTTATATGTACGGGAAATGCTTATGACTGACAAATTATGAAACTGACTTTGAAGTTGAACTTAAATTTTAGTTGAAGAACTCCTCTTTATCACGATATAGCAACGAGTGATACAATCACAATTCTTCCAAAATCGCTGCAATGAATATTCGCTTAGTAGCCTTGTGAATAAAGCTGAAAAAAGTTTGGATTATTGAGCGTTAAGAAAACACTGAAGCCCACGGTGATACTTAAATTATATTCAGAATACATAATAATGAAATTAAAAACAAACGAGGCACAATAATCAAAAGTGAAAAAAGTATGAAATTTGACATCAGTTATAAATACTATAATGACAAACAGAATGGAACAGCGAATCTATGCAATAGTTTATGCAATGTCAACATAAATCAATCATTTTGGCAGTTTATCGTATTGGCAATTGTATGCCAAGAACGTCAAACAAAGTTATTAGGATGGTGGAAGCACTAGTTATTCAGATTGAAAACCGAAGCTTCGTGTACAAAACAAATTTATTCAGTCTCTTCTTTTACCCTGACTCATCTCAGGCCCAATAGGCCAGTGGTCGTATCAGTTTCACCAATATACATTCGGTCTTCCCCTTTTGTATTTTCATATTTCAAATTCCTGTTATTCGAATATTGTTACTGTAATTGTTATTATTACTGCCACTATTATTATTATTTCACATGACCTTGTGTTATTATCATTATTATTATTATTATTATTATTATGTCCACCATTATTATTAGTCTTGTAAGCACATGAAGAAACTAGTTAGGATTAACCCGATTTTATTGTTTCCTACTTAATTCCTACCATTTCATGCACTAAGTTATCTTCCATTAAACATCTGATGCAATTTATACCCAAATTATTATTTCTCTCACTTCTTGTTATCTATGTTTATTCTAACTAATGATCTCACAAATCCAACTGACTCATATAGTGATTCTAGTTAACAATACATGCTAGTCATTTCAGCCTTAATCAGTTTCTTTTCTTTTCCAAACGATCCTAAATTCACATTTCATAGTTTCAAAAGATGTATTTGCCTTAAACTCAGTAATTTTTTGTTTGATTGATTTGGTTATATGTATAACTACGTAGCTTGAAGAGAATTTGTTGGAAATAATATTCTTCATCCATAATTCTGTGTTTTCAGTACCTCTAGAATTTTCAAACAGCTTATTTAACTGTCGAAAATCATTTTATAATTATCTCCAACTTAGGCTGTTTATTATAAATCACTAAACGTGAAAATGGTCAAAGAAATAATGATTGACGTTGGAAACCCCAAATTGTCCACTCTCAGCTTTCATAACCATTCTGAATCCAGGTCAAATACAATCGATACATATACAACATTAATAATAATAACAACCTAATGAATGAGAATTTCAATAAGTTGTCTCAGTGAGTAGCTGTTTATTTTAGCTTTTATTCATACTAGTTAATATTCCGAAAAAGCCACGTAGCAGGGCTAACAAAAGGATCCCTTCTTAAATTTACCCAGATGAACGATAACTAGTTTTCTAGCCTTATTCTGAAAGAGATATGTAGTTTCCCCCTTTAAACTATTTATCTATGTTTGTTGTTTATAGTTCCTACATTTTGTTTTGCTATTTATACAGAATGGGTTTACTGCACTTCATATCGCATGCAAAAAGTCACGAGTTGAAATGGCTTCAGTTCTTCTTAAATATGGCGCTCTACTTGAAGCAGCCACGGAGGTAAGTAGTTGCCAATTATTTTGTTGCTTTTCTTGAGGTTTATCGACTTGCTTTTAAAAGTCTGTGGATATCGGTGTACATTCCTAGATAAATGCTTTCACTAATTAACACCAAATTATTTGTCGAACAAACGTTGAAACCCCTTTATTTTAAAATCAATTGAATCCTACAACATCCTTGAAACTCTCCGCTTACGACATTTTTCCTGCACAGTGGAGAACGTTTTGAAGTAGTCATGGATTGACTTATCACTGCAGTTCTTTATCATCCGAGAGCATAGTAATGGCTTCATCCCCAATCGGATTAAGTGAATTTTCTCCAGAATAATGTGTTATCCACGTTCCAAATTTACACGGAAATTATTTGTGAAATTTAAATTTTCCTATTCGAAATGTCTGTAGAAATTACAATGGTCAAAATTTTCACAATTGTTTTGCATGGAAGTATCAGAAACAGATAGTAACCACCGATTTGTAGTGAGACTGTTTGTACTTTAAAGAGCAATACAGTGTTAAGGAATAATATTATACAGTTAATCCCTGTCTACTTAAATAATAATAAACGAAACTTGCTATAGAAAATTTAGCATCTTATGAGGCAGTTTATTACTTGGATGGAGAAATATAACGAGAATTATAATTACACTTTTTGGTAAGAGTTTTCAGCTGCCAGTCTCGTCTAATATAAATTTTGTGTTCAGAGAATTTTTGTTACGGATAGTTTTTGCTTTTGAGTTCACCAAGAAGTTTTCAGTCATCATTGTGTTCCCCTGAATATTTTAAAGAAGATTTTCAAAGGTTAAATTTATTTTACACTCTTAAAAAACCAAATATGTAAAACACATTTACTGAAATAACAATAACGTTGAAAGTGATCATTTTGTTTCCTATTCATCTACATTTTATTGAAATGTCAGACTGGTCTCACTCCATTACATGTGGCTGCATTTTTTGGATGTACAGACATTGTCTTATTTCTTTTACAACATGGTACGAATGTGAATCAAACAACTTTGCGTAATGAAACTGCACTACATTTAGCGGTTAGAAATAAACAACTGGAGACAGTGAAAACTCTTCTTGGTTACCAGGCAAATTTAGATTACCGTACAAGAGTAAGTTATTGACGTGTAAGATAAAACCATTAAGATTTGAATATATTTGGTTTTTAGGTAGATAATGAAAGTTTTGGAACAAGTTCAACACAAAATGTAGTCAATATTTAAGGCCGTTCATTTTAATATCACTTAGTTTGACCCTCATTCAACACCCATATTAAAAATGTTCATACTCTTTTAGTGAAGAATGTTGCTTACTTTTCAGGATCCCCCAGCATTCGCTAACTAATAGAGGCATCAGATATAGGTATGAGTCCAGATTACGAGTAGCGAACGAACTATGAGTCTACTTTATATTAATCAGTTGAAGTGGACTTTACTGTAAGAGTTTATGTTTATAGGCTTATAGTTAATGATTGAAAGTAATCTAGACTCAATATACTCGATAACTATCTATTGATTTCCGAAATAAATCTAGAGTGAGGAAACCTTTCTATGTTCAGTCAGAAAATAAGATATCTAAAAGATTTACCCACACACCTACTAAGTTGAAAATGAATATAATACCGATTGAATTATTTTACTACAAGCAAAGACAGGAATGCATCATGATCTATGTTAATATGATTATATCAATGTGAATAAAAGAATAAGAACTAAGCTTCAGTTTTCATGTGATCAAGAATCTTTACTAAGAAACAAGCAAAACATGAAATGACTTTAATACAGTGAAAATATAGTCATGTTATAGAAAATAAAATTATTTGTAGATTGTCTTGACTACATATTTCTTCTTTATTAGGATAATCAAACACCCTTACATGTCGCTGTCCGTACAAACTATCTGCCAATTGTTGAATTGTTATTGAATGCTGGCTCTGATCCTAATATAATGACAAAAGATAATTATACACCATTACACATGGCTATTAAAGAAGACTCAGAAGATATTGTTAGAATATTGATTGAGCACGATGCTAATCCGGAAGTTAAAACAAAGGTGAGTCAATGTTGTCTATTTATTTCTTAAGCAAGCTCTACTTTTAATAACCAAGTTTTAAATTGAGAAATAAAAACTGATTTATTCACCGATTGATTTGATGCCAATAACTAATTCGTTAATAATATGTTACTGTACACTTCCCCATGTTTAATTAAGACGCATTCTAACAATGTTACTCATGCTCAGCACTTAATATCAGCCAGCTTTTGAGAAAGCCCTACTAGAATACAGAGCTTCGAACTTATTTACGGTAATTCACATATTCAAAATCAGTCCACTAAAATGAAATCACAAACCATGTTCCAAGCATATATGATATTTTAGTATGCATGTTCATGAGACTAATTGGTTAAAAATTACAAGTAATTTGGTGACGACATTCTTCGGAAGCGATAAAAAATAAAGTCTACAAACTAATTAATATCTTATTATTTGTTATAAAAGATTGACAAGTATATGAGATCGGATGAAATCTTAACAAAAGGTTTGATGAACAACAAAGTAGGTCAACATAACATCCTGAATAATTAAATAGAAAATATAGTTTCATATAAATAACAGCGTTTCTTAGACTTCAAAACCAATCCCTCGTTGTTTGGTCAGCATAGTTGTGGTAGCATAAATTCACTTAATGATTTGTTTGATTCACGTGTTACACTTACAAGTTATTCTAATAAATACATTTGCAAATTTTATTTTCAACAGAAAGGATTTACACCCTTACACTTAGCAGCAAAATATGGTTCATGCAAAACAGCTCACTTGTTAATGGACAGAGCAAAGTCTGATCCGAACACAACTGGTCCCAATGGCTTCACGCCTGTACATGTGGCTACATATTACAATAATAACAAAGTAAGTTGTCATGATTTGGTAAGCGTTCAACTGCTGCTTCATTTTCGTTTATTCAGCCACGTCATTATTTGTCTTTTATTATATTAAATACTAATTTTCAGGTACCAAGATGAGTTATATTTGTAGTTGAGTAATTCAACGATAGTTCATGTCAGAAATGTTTAACTAATAATCGAAAACAAATGAATTTATCAACATGATTTCATAACAGCTTAATGTTACTAAGTGCTAACATACGTAATGTTTTGAACAGGACGAAACTAGAAACTAGACTATCATAGAGGGCGTTTACTATTACCAGGATACCTCTAAACTTTAATCATAGAATTTACTAAGTATCATCACCAAGTTTGACTTAATAATTAGAAATAAATTAGTGTTAGGTTGACTGTTTATAGTAGTATTTTTGTACATATAAAATTTGGTCTGTCAATCAATGCTAAATAATTGGAAAGGAACTGATTCTAGTGGTCGAAAATGGTGGGCTATAAACGGTTTACGAATTGTAAATCACATTTCGAACCAACGATATTCCTATGTGGGTCGCGAACTATTAGTGATATAAATAGTAATTAATAGTTACATTTAATAAAATAAACTGTCCCATCGAAAATGTTTTCAAGCTTCAATTTGTGACACAAATTAAATAGTTAAGCGTCTGTTATTCATACAACAGCTACGTAACAATATTGAATTACAAAAATAAATAGAGTTTAAAATTTGAGTATCAGTCTGATAGCATAAATATTGCTGGTTCGAATCTATTTAAAATACAAGTTTTTAAATTTTACCCAAATTCCTGAAACAAATAATCGGTAAAACGAGACTAAAGTAGATGGTCTAAATGTAAATTCTAACTGTTTCAAATATTTCATCTAGAACGATGAGAGCTAGTTTAACTTTGATTTAAGATCACGTCAAAATAGCTAGAACCATTTAATTTATATACAGTAGTGTGGATACAAATAAGACAAAATAATGTTAGATGCAATAGCAACATCTGATGTATTCCAAAGGTAGTGTTTGGAAATAAATTCACAATTCTAAGAGATTAGAAACTCCTTTCGAAGTAATATCCAAATAGTTAAAACCAGTATTGAGAAAAATTGTTCTTTTTTGAATATTTTATGGAAATTTTTAAACTGCAGCATTCTATTTGGTCGAATTAAATCTTAACCAGAAAACCATACATATAATAATAATAAGATAGGCCCACTATACCTTACTAATGTCTTATCAACTAAATAACTATTACATTAATAGTGATAATAAAATCCTGCTAAACATGGTAACGGTGAGGTAGTTTCCTTAATAAAAATGACATATTTGTGCTTTTATTTATTCTGACTCACTGTTACCATGTTCAGCGAAATTTAATTGTCACTATAATCGTAATAGTTATCATTTTGAGAAATAATTATATTTGGAATTGTATAACTTTGAAAATGAATTTGCTGAAGTGAACTCTTCGCTGAACCAGTCTTATTTTATGTTTCAATCGGTATATTCTGTTTACATAATAACTGTTTCGTAAATAATTATATCTTCAAAAAATTTGCTTGAACTGGATAACTGATACTTGAGGAACATCCCCTGAGTTTGAGAAATGCGGAAATCAGTCAGATTTATAAGGACGAATGTTTTCCAATATATAGTTTAATACATACTATAAAGTAATGTGAGCACATGAGAATCATAAATTTAATTCTTCAATAGCAGATAACCAGACGAAAGTTATCTAAATACCATACATCCGTTAATTAGTTGTTATTGATGATTTCTTCTATAAGCAGAGGATCATGAGAAAGTAAAACTCAGAGACTACAATTTCTTAGCACAGTGACCATAAATAAACGAAGTTTATAAGAAATTAGGTGTTTTATATCATGAACTGACTTCAATTAAATAACCATTGAAAACTAGGGAGCTATGGAAAGGTGGGTGACATGGCTCAGAATCGATCACAATGGCGTCGGTGTATACACTCTCTGTCTTCCCTTAAACTACGAGATTAAAATCACTTCATATCTTTCTTTCTACGAACTAATTCTTTATTCCTGTACTATATCCTTATTGCAATCTTTCTTCTATATATTACCACCTCTGAATTAACTACTTTTATGAACCCGGTGTCCATCTTGTTGTGTTAATGAGGTATGGCAACTTGGACCGATGCTTATATGTGCCTGGTCCTACGTTGTAGCTGACTGACTGATGGAAAGGTGAAGACTAAAAGTGAGTAAAAGGCTTCAGTAATCAAGGGGATGTAGGCCGCGACTTGGGTTTGGTGGATAATTTACAAGTCCACGAACGCATGAATGAAGAGAGTTTTTTTCTGAGTAAGCTGTCATAGAATTTTACTTACAAATGTAGAACCTGATGAGAGTTTCTTGAAAAGAATATTCCATGTTTTAATATCGTTTTAGACAGTTGGATAATTTGCTCACGATAGGCCTATCACAATTTTTATTTCACGAGCACCGTGCGACCTTGCAAGAGCACTTAATCAGTCTGGTATTGCAGCAATCTGGGATCTGTTCGGGCTCGTCTACGTGTTAGTTTTTCATGCAAAATAATCAACTGAGTTATTATTCAACTTTGGATTAACTTCTATGACAATCTACTTACAACTTAAACCACTATGAGTACCTAACACTTGTCTTACTGTTGATCCTATTTCACTCCTAAACATGCAAACCATATATGATTATGGGTTATGATCACCAAGTGTGTGAGGTTGAGACTGTTTATTTCATTCATAATCATTCCTAAAACATTAGTGATTTTCTTCATTTGACAATAACGTCAAATCAATCGAAACTTATATTTAATTTTGCATTTACTTTAAAGATGTTGGATAAATTGATAGAATTTGGAGGTGATGTCAATCGACCTGTTAAGAATGGCTTTACACCACTTCATCTGGCAGCCAAACGAAATCATCTAGATTCAATCCATTTATTAGCATCTAAAGGAGCCGTAACTGATAAGGGTTCAAGGAACGGTTATACACCACTTCATTTAGCTTCACAAGATGGTCAAATTGAAATAGTTAAAGTTCTTGTTGAAAAATACAAAGCTCAAGTGAATACTGCAGCCAAGGTATGTGTTGTGTAGACAAACTGATATCCCCATAAGAAGTAGCATCCACTTTCATTTATTTTTTAATTTACACTCATTGTACTGAGGAATAGCTCAATATATATTTCATTTATTAGATAAGCTTAACCATCCAAAAACAAATTTGAATTTCGTGAATGACTCATCTTCATTGGATTGAAAATTGCCCAAAGGTAATCAAAGTCTGAATGCAAAATATACAGACTCCATTAAGACTGTACTAAACCAGGTCTGTCGGCTTCAGAATTATGGATACAACTTTTCTGTTTTACCCGTCTTCTAACAGTGATCAGTTTAAGAGATTGATCGTTAAGCTGATTATATGCTTAGATCCACGAACTTAAATTCCTTATTTCTTTATCTCATTCTATATACTTACAATATATCACTTTTATAGGACGGTTTAACACCACTACATTTGGCGGTACAGGAAGACAAAGCTAACGTAGCCGAATATTTATTAAGTTCAGGCGCATCCATTGATACGAAGACACTGAAAGCTGGGTTTACACCGCTACATTCATCTGCTTATAGGGGACAGCTCGCCTCTGTTCGTCTACTTCTATCATGTGTCCCTGAACATCAACTTCAGCAAGTTATAAACAGTCGCACTCATATGGGTTCAACTCCACTGCATTTGGCAGCCCAACAAGGTCATCTACAAGTAGCTCTAAAACTTATTCAAATGGGAGCTGATCCAAACATTTGTAATAAGGTAATTTTTTAAAAAATCTTATCACACTAATTATAACTTCAATGTTTATACTTGTCTGTGAACACTATTTCTTTAGGTCAAGCGTATGTCTAGTTGCAGAGTTTTGTTGATATTTTTTAAATGTAAATAATGCTTGGCTAAATTTTCATAACCTTTGATTTTTTAGCAAGGATGGACAGCAGCAAAATTAGCTCATAAGCAACATTATTTGAACTTGTTCGAATTGTTGCAATCAGTTACAACTAATGACGGTGACGGAGGTTTACCTAGTTCAAATGGAATAGATGATAATGTAAATCTAATCCACGGTGTAATGCCCTTAGAAAAAGCGGAATATATGACTGATCATATGATCTCAGATAGTGAAGATGAAGGTAGTAAAATTTTTAATTTTTTTACTATAAAACTGAATTATTTGTCAAATAAATTATTGAATTACTGTACAAAATACACTGCTCTATTTAGTTTCATTCAGCAGTAGTTATGTAACCACCTTAAGCACTACATCAGAACAACTAATTATTAGACATTCACTGATATCAAGAATTTTTAACCCATATGGAGCATGTCCCTTCTGAACACAACTTTATACTTGCTTATACTTATTCATTAAATGAAACTTTTTTTAACACTAAGGATTCTAATTTTGACAATGAAAATAGATCCAGAATCTTTGAAAAAATCTTGTGCAGTCATGAATCGGTAGTAATACTTTCCACTCATATCATTAATGATAGTTTCAGTAACAATGAATACGGTGAAGGAAATGTTTAACCTAGTGAGAAAATAGCAAATTAGAATTTTAAGCAGATTAATTTATGTTTAAGAAATATACTATTCGATATTAGCACTTGTAGGACAAAACTATTTTACTCGCCTTTCTAAGGAGCATCTACTTGAAACAAAAGGATTCAGATCATGCATTAGTATTTATTGTGATTCATATGATTTCTTTGTTTATTTTCTTTGTTATTACAGGGAAGTAATTAGGATATTATTTACCAACTGAGGAATGTGTCCTAAAACCCTGATATTAGTAAGAACTGTCATTCAGTACCTGAAGTAAAATTCAGTTCAATGCAGTAAAACACAAATTTCTTTCCCACTAAAATGAATTCTATTTGATTTAATAAAGATTCACGTTTTGAAAATGGGACATCGTTTTGAGAGAATCTCGTAGTATTAGTCTATAACATTCTTTACATAAGATAAATTAATACTAATACTCATAGGTAACTTTACACATAATCAATAATTTCAGAAACTATTATACACGATCATAGGAACCGCATAAGAAATACATTTTTCTATGTGAATATCTTGATGTATAAGTGTTGTAATTAATAAATGTTGTTTTGATGGTATTTTTTTGTTAATATGCAGCCGACTTTTTATCTACACCAGCAATGTTTCGATATCCTGAACAACGTAAAGAAACGTTAGATGAACCAGGTAGGAGTGTTACGCCGAATACATTTGCCCTACGTATAAATGTTTGACTTTAAAGGGTTTTATTTATGATCATTGTTCATTCAAATTACCTTTCTAATTTTTTCCATTTGACTAACATTTAATCACGTTTAAACCATGGTAGCCAAAATTCATAACATTGTCAACTACACGAGACATTTTCAGTGCATTTAAAAATGTAGACAAGTAATTGTAGAGTGTTGGTAGTTACTCAGTGAATTATTTATAGCACTGATAAAGACAATAGGTAAAAAAATTGATTACACTTAAATACATTAATAAATAAACTAAGAATATAATTTTCAATGAATTACTGTCGAGTCCTACAGTCACAATTTCAAATAATGGTAAAGAATTTTTTTTAGTTGGGGTCAAACTCATTTTTATTAGCAAGTTACATACTTAAGTAAAGTAGGTTTGCTAAAGTTTGGTAGATATTGTGATAACAAGTATGCGTTGATTGCTTCATTCAAGCTTGTGATCAAATAACAATATGAAATTATTAATTTGATTTAAAATACGTAATTAAAATAGGGGGGTGATGTGTAAATGGTTCACTTGTGTAACATCTCGCAATGTTACTTGACTCACTAGTCCACTCAATAACTTCAAAACGTTGACCGCCTTATATTGCTTACACTATTAAATTTATAGTTTGTTAAAAGATATAAATAACCAAGCATAAGAAACTTGTTTATGCTTACCTTGTAACTCCTTTGGATCATTAATTTGAACTTTTGGCTATAGAAGTTAATGATTTACAAAAGAAACATATTCTTCATATGTATAACAAGTAAACAATTAAATGGACGTTTTAGTCTATATAAATCTACATTAACAATGTAAGCTATATATGTCAGTATGTATTGGTTCAGGTTATCACAGTTCACATCACTACAAGGAGCAACAATCTGTAGGGGAAAGCTAGGAAAGAAAATAGTAACAACGCAATAATAGTCAAGTCAAAACAATGAAGATTTCCAATAGAAAGATGAAAGTAAAGGATGAAGCGTTTGGCATCATATCGTGTTCATGATTAAGAGGATAATAATGAATGCGCTGTTTGGTTTAAACGCAAAATACTTTGAAAAAATGTAATTTAAGATTTGAAACCATAAACAGGATATCTAAAACTCTTCAAATGACTTACACCAACAATGAGTGATTTCATAACCCTATGACAAGTCGTGAAATAACTTCTCACACTACTTTTTGCTTGCTCCATTAACAACCAGAAAATCTTCTTGAATAGATCCTAATTAACATGGTACTTCCACTTAAGGTTCTCTGCTGATCACTCACAATTATCAATTATATTTAATGTCCATTAAGTTCCATAGTTTATGAGGAGTCACAAGTCTCAGACTTTTATTTTTAATACTGTAACTTATAATTTATGAACGAATTAATCAGATTTAGGATAACAAGTCTTGGATTATAGTCTCAGCAATTGTTCTTGCTGTTACTTACCTTAGATGCTGTACGAAAGACAAAGTGTTGAAATACATTTATTTCTCTTAATTTAAAAAATAATTCAAAACAGAATACTGTCCAGATAAGTAATCAGACTACTTGAATTTAGACAAAATATTACTTTTCCTCTCAAATTCACTATGATCTACATATGATAATGGACTTAAGTACATACCTCTCGATCACTATAACAATGCACTCAAAACTAAATACTTAACTTGGTGAGATGAGTACGTATGCATGGTTTCATTCATACAAAGTTTTAGCACCGAAACTAGGGCCTAATTATCAGTTAAACCTATTGACAGATCAACAAAATTGTCATGTTGCCCATTGACAAAGTTGCAAGATAATAGTTACTGGTATCTTCTTAGGCTTAAACTCTAATGTATTCATCTAAAAGTAGTTCCACAGTTAAGAAAAAAATCAAGCAGTTATTAGCTTATTACCCTCAGGATATGAGGAATAATCAGCGCATATTTGAGAGCTTTAAATTATTTTTATTCTCATTTACTGCTATTGATTTGTTTGTGTCCACAGCCTAACACTGAAAACATCTTTCTCATGATTGCCGGTTGTGTGTATGCTGACAGATCGATGTCACTTTACATTCAAACATTCACAGTTAACCACACTGGTGTCTGAAATCAGTGTTTACCTATCACACCTTATCGCTGGTGGACATACGACTTTAAATAGACTAAAGTTTCACTTTATGCACCCTAATTATGGCACTTTAAATGTTCTGCCAAATTAACTTGAAGAAACAAGCGAAGGAAATTTAGGCGAAGCGAAATTTTATTTTCTGAACTTGACATAATTTTATCGATAAATTGAACTAGTCGCGTAAATTAATTAGCTACAGTTCCATTTTTCAACACTTACACCATGGCAAAAAAAACCCTTCCTCAAAACCGTTTTTGAAATAACGTTGGGAAAAGGACTGCTGTTTTAAAATTTTCTACATACTTTTGTTTAGAACAACATATATAAGCGAACAATATTGTTTTCGATTAGATCCTCATCAGGCTTTACTCTAATATACAGTAATATTTATATGCATATACGAAATTATTAAACCAATCAAGGTAGTTTATAAGTCAATGATAACAATGGAAAAGATTACATAATAAGTAAAATGTGAAAAGTACAAATTGATGGTGTGACAACAGGTGCATTAGTTTTTGATAAGCAATAATAATAAAGGTTCAAATCAATGTTACATAATCTGAAATAGGTCAATGATTAGAAAAATATAGAAACTGAGATAACAATTATAAAATTATAAGATGACGTAATAAGAAATGTTCAGATAATTGGACCATGAAACGTATAGTTGAGAGAAAATAAAGTGGTAGGAGGGTGTGAAGAAAAATAATAAACGAAGAGAAAGTTAGAAAAGGAATAAATAAATTCATTTATTACTTAAGGCCAAGGGAGAGATAAGGGAGTTACAAATTTCTTCTGAACACAAAGACTTGGCTTGTTGGCTCGGATTCCTATAGCTTCTGCTATGTGTAAGAGACGAGATCGAACACCATAAGGAAAACTAGTGGGAATCCGGTAAATAACTTTGAACGACTTGTTTCTGTCCACTACATGACCGCTATCGATCAAGTGTGATAGAACCGAGCTGCGTATTGTTTTGACGTAACCTTTTCCTAACCACGAAGGGAGGTGTTCACTAACTCGTTGGTTCAGTTGCCTGGTAGTGCGCCCAATATAGCTTTCTCCACAGGAGCAGCTGAATTCGTAGATACACATAGAAGTGGCATAACCAGGTAACTTATCCTTCAATTGCGGAATCACCATCGATCGGGTCGAATACGATAGGCAGAGGTTGGCAGCATTAAACGTTCTCTTTACTGCTCTAGTCAATCTATCCCGTAATACATCGCTAGCCAAATCACCATTGAATTGCAGTTTCAAGAAAAGCGGTTTCTTATTAGCCGTCAGGGTCACTATTTTCCTGTTTTTTACGCGCAAGTGTTTCTTCAGGAACCCCAGTGGATATCCCAATTCAATCAAAATATTATGAATGTGTTGTAATTCTCTATCAATAGTGTCGACTGAGCATATCTTAAGAGCTCTATTTGCAAGACATTTGACTAAGTTTCTCTTATAATGAAGAGGCACAAAGCTTAAAAAATGTGTGTATTGGCTTGGCGAAGAACTTTTTCTATACACACCCCTGCTGATAGAACCATTTTCTTTTCTACTTAACAAAACGTCCAGAAAATTTAGTTTGTTATCTATTTCCTCCTCACATGTAAATTTAATAGCAGGATGTTTGTTATTAAATAGTTCCAGTAGTTGTTCTTTTCTAATGTTCTGATCGGCAATGATGAAGGTATCATCAACGTAACGACAGTAGAAATCCAGTTTATTGATAACCTCCTTGAGAGGTCCGTTTTCTAGTTTCGCCAGAAAAAACTAATGCACCTGTTGTCACACCATCAATTTGTACTTTTCACATTTTACTTATTATGTAATCTTTTCCATTGTTATCATTGACTTATAAACTACCTTGATTGGTTTAATAATTTCGTATATGCATATAAATATTACTGTATATAAGAGTAAAGCCTGATGAGGATCTAATCGAAAACAATATTGTTCGCTTATATATGTTGTTCTAAATTTACAATATGGGAATACTTTTGTTTATCTGTTTTCCCTCTGCGTGGAACTGTTCAAATGTATCTTCGCTGATCACGAATCTGGTCTGTTAATATAATAACACTGCTGTTGTTTGTATCATAAACCGAATACGATCCACTGCATCAAATCAACAGATAACGATATAACATCAATTCCAAGTACACCAACTTTGGATAATAAACTCATATCAGTCCGCCCAACAACACTGCGTATTCCTGAATATTTAACTGGTGAGTAGAATAGTTTTAAATATACTGACTGCATATTTCGTATATTAGTTTGCTGTAAATAATGTAGTGGTTTTCACAAGAATTCGTTTCAAATAATAGCGAGTAAGATATCAACAAGGGGAAATGCTTAAGAATATGTTAATTATTTCGAAACGTTATTAGCAAATCTTTTATTTGCAGCAAGATTCATGGTTCATAGTAAACAATTAAGGATTTGTTATAATTCAACCACGTAAACAATAATCGCGGTTGCAAAAGTAGCTGATAAGAAATTTTATCAACTGTATGAAATTAATCTGAAAATTATAATACCAGATATTCCTTTTTATAAACTGACATCATAATACAAAACAACACTGTGAACGTTAGCGCTTTTACACTTAAAGTAATATTGTGACTCGCTCACCTTCTAAAACCCTTTTTTGTATATGTATTGATTATGAAATATCTATTTCGGGACTCCTGTAAAATGTTAAACATACATCTTGCTCTTTAAAATGTACCATGATTACAGTTTATAAACACAGAAATAGTGTAATTTGAATGTATTAGGATGGAAAAATATATGTACTGTAACCAGAGTTATTTGCTACATTTTTCTTTAACAAATTTTTAATAAGTCAGTTGTTTCTATTCAATAGATCACCCGAAACCAATACAAACTAACAGACATTGATATTAAATTATATTTATACTGCGAACAATATTGTTTAATATATAAAGGAGAATATTAGCATATGTTCCCATTTACATTCTGTAATAACATGTCCCTAATAAGGTAGATTTACTAATGGAACATGTATATCTCACTTTTATTTAAATGGCGATGAAAAAATCAAGTACATAAAAGCCACTATGCGCCATTGATTGGATTCAGAACACTATCATGTCTCAAGATAAAAATTAGTCAAATAGACCAGACAAAAACCAATTTAATCAAAAAATGCCAATAAAGTGGATGGAGAGGACACTATTAGAAAAAACATGCCAGTTGACTTGAAGCTTTCTTATGTGTGGAAATATCCACAAAAGCTTCTTATTGGGACAGTGTGCATTTGAGTTCTTCTACAGCTTTGTTTTAAAAAATGGTCCCTTGTAATACTATATAGTTCCTAGCATTTCAGACATGAGAATTAATTATTACTATGATTATTTTGAATTGGTATCAGGTTTGGTTCAGCTACTTCATTTTGACTCTACGTTGGTCTCAATTAAACTTAAGCAACAACTTCAACTCAGAAGTATAAATTTTACTAACCATTTACACATGATTCATTGTACCTGTTTTTGTTTTTTTAAATGGGAATATCCTTGGGACCTTGGTGTCTAGCTACGAGTGGTGGACATTTTTGACGAAGATCGGATTTGTATACCTGGCGGTTCTTCATGAATTGCTGTGAATTAGGTCATGGTTTGTAAGGCGATTGAACGAATCCGCTTGGTCGCTTCTGTATATTGTATTGTTAGGTTATTAAAGTGGACACACTGTTCCGTTTGAAGTCGCGATTCTATAAGCACGTTACTATAAGCCAAAATTGACACTGCTCATTGAAATAATATGAACAATAAGCATATACATAGATTTCAAATAATTTTACGCAAAAACAACTTTTAACTATGTTTGATACTTGCAGATGTTTTTTCAAATCTACCTATTCAACGGTCTCATACAATTTTATCATAGCTAAACGTAATTAACCCATGATTTGTATTAGCTATTTAAATAATACTCATTCTTTACATAGGTTGCACAAATTGTTGACGCGGCAACTATAGTTTTTGAATGTCTGTACAAATAGGCGGAGACTTCCATTCATTCAAGTTAAACTTATCAACGAAGATAAATTCCCACACTATGTAACTGTGATGCTAATCAAACATTAATAATTGTTCAGTTACTTTCCTTCTAATCAATTTTCTGTTGTATCATTTACTTATTTTAAGCCTTAGGAGGTGAAACTCTTTGCTCTGGTCTTCATGAAAGTATGACAGAAGAACGCGTGAAACCAATGCTCAATGGAAAAGTATGTGTTTCTCCAATAATGTAACTTGATTTACTGATGCTTAAGGGGAAATACTTAATACAGTCTTATTTAGGGCATTGTTTAGCATTATAGAAAAAACAAGTTCATCGTTACGGTTCATAGATATTTTTAGCCTTTTATTAACTTGAACAACAATCGTCCTCATTATACATAAATGACACGAGATCACACTCTGCTTTTAATTACATTTTATGAAATAGTGAATCGGATTCATGTTACTAGTCTGAGCTCTGCATTCGACTTCCTACCTACTATACATTAAATATCCGTCCGTTTCTAAGTCCCTTTCAAAATGAAGACTTTTACTTCAGTCGTTATATAACAATAATTGAGCGTAATTTGATAAACGAATAAACCCCATCAGACTCAAACTTGGAATGTCGTCCAATTTACATCAGGGTAATAAATGTAAATTCCTTGAAGATACAAAACATCTGTTCAGAATAAAAACAGCACTTAAAAGTTATATTTTACTAAGAATTATAAAATGAACCACAAAGAGAAAGAATAGATAACTCTGTTCTTAAAATCGAATAGGGTAGGTATTTCAAAACACTCACAGTTTCAATATCTGTTATCATTTACTTGCCCTAAACTCTCAGCTGCCAATTAAATGACACACTAAAAATTTGGTAGAATACTTCTCAATGTGAATTAGTAGTTGGGTATTTGTAGGTAAAATCAATCACATAATTCTGATAATCTTCATCTTCTCATAGCATTGTTCAAATATTGTAGTCTAACTCTGTTATGCACAACGTTCATTTCAAAATTAAAAAAACATATAACTACTTCTAAAAACGAAAATAATAAAACATGAAAACTGTTTAGAATATCCAGTGTACTAAGAAACTAATAGCCTTTTGTGACTGAATTATATGTTGCGAAAATATTCATGCATTCATTTTGTGTTTTCTCTATATAGGGTGAAACAGCTACAGCTTCACAACAGCCAGTTCAGATGACAATTAATGCATCTTCACCTGCCGCTCTATCAGAATGGGATTTCGATGTAGATAATGTGCATTCGACGAAGAATTTAGTTAAGTCGGGGTATGTTCCTATAAGTTTATCTATAATTTGAAAGGTTTCTTATCTCTTTTATCATCGATGCTCGAGGTGGCCTAGTCGAAGCTCAAAGACGACCTGGTTTACGATTTCTTGTACCACCTAATGCACCATCTGGACCACTACGTATAATTTGTCGTTTACTCCGCCCAGAAGCGATTGACAATCCACCAATTTTTAATGACGGTGATTGCTTAGCCTGTCGGTAAGTAATTTTACATTTTTTACCTGCACAAGTGCGCGATAGTTTATCTTAAAAAAGAAAACGAATATTTATTACTTTTCAGTTAGGTCTAAGATTCTGAAAATCTGTCTCTTTGTTATTGATAATCTGCTGAATGACCGGTAATCTTATAATTTAATAATTGAATTCATGAGTCAATAATAAAATACTACAATCTCCGCAAAACCCCCGTCTTATTATAATCTTATAATTCTTCTGAACCATCAGTTAGAATCTCTGATTGAATAATATACTGAGGATAGATTGAAAAGAATATTCTTCATTCACAGTCATGTATTTCAATATGAAGAGTATGTCTAAACACTTATCCATTGAGTTCAAAATACTAGACTCATGTTTGTTTCCAAGTGTAGCTTACCAATTCTACTTTGAGTAGTTACTACAATTGTCAAGAACGACAACGAACGTTTCTTAACTAAAGCAATTAGCCCAGAGAATGCACCACTGCTAAAAGCATTCACATGAGCTATAAATCTTCTCCACCATTTCCTGAAATACTATCATTCGTGTTCTTGTTTGACATTATAGTAAATTTTAAGAGCTATCAGTTTTACATTTTCAAATCCAAACACATCCAAACAGGAATAATATATTTAACTCATAACAAAATGGACACACGTTATTAAATATAGTTACCGTTTTCGTATCTTATCAAATTTCCTTGGTAAGTTTGTTAATTGCAGATCATAAACGTTCAGTGTTTATAGTCTACAAATTGATGTAAATGAAGACACGAGCACTGTATAAAGTTTAAACTGTTTTAATTATGGTCTGAATTAATAATAGAGTCGAATGCAATGAAATCATAATCCCGTTTAGCTTGAAACCAAATAACCAAGCTCAGAGAACGAACCTGCATCCAAATCTAAAATAAGCTAGAAATTGTTAGCACAAGCAATAATCAATTAAAAATACAATTGTAATAACCGTAAACGAAATTTGCAGCTCATTTGTGATTAAACTAATGAATTGAATTTTCCTTTTAATGGTAATCTGGGGATCAACGCTTTGTTACTTAGTGTGTAACATTTTTTATAGGATTATTGAAATGAATCCAAACCAGATGCGCTTCAGTTTACCTATACTTGTTGAGGTGCCTCATATAGCATCTATTAAAGGAAGAGAACGTGAAATTATAATTGTTAGAAGTGAAACGGGAAATTCATGGAAAGAACACACATTAGAAGCAAATGAGCAGGCGATAAATGATTCGTTGGGTGATGCATTTGGTAAGCTCTTTGTTTTTCTTTGGTTGATTGGTTTAATCCATGTGTTCCTGTCTTACTGATTTAACTTGTATGCCAAGTGGAAGTCATTAACATAAGAAGATAGTCGTCATGTAATTACGTTACCTATTTTCTCCAGCCGGTTAAAAATTTAATGTGATTTTTTAAAGAAATAAACGTATAAAACTGAGATCCCATAGCAACAATATTACTGTTAAGCCACCAAATCAAGTTCAGTTATCCAATTTCATCATGTACATTCGGCATTACTTCTCCCAAACACTTAATTTGAATAGCAAATAGGGGTTCACCAGTCGATAACTTTGAAGTAGTACATTTTTAGGAGATCTGAAGAGAAAATACTGTTCATAGTACAAAGTTAGTCTTTACTGAAAACGTGTAGTCAATAGTATAGTGGAAGATAACTCGAATCTATGATAATCGTGGTAAAGACTGGAGGGTATGATGAGTTTTCGGAAAGGCAGCTCTTTAAACTTCCTGTTTTTGTAATCTCATGGAATTTTGTGCCTTGAAAATCTTAAGTACAACAAGAATAAAAACTGTGACAATATATTTATCGAGATAATCGGTTTCTGAGATATTCATAAGTTATAACGAGTGTTCATGATTCAGTTTAAAAAAAATCGGTACTTAAATAAAATAAGAATGTGTCAGTTACTGATAGCCAAAACGAAAACTTCTTTACTTTGTCTCAGCTGTTTTCAACTTATATTAACTATCAATGAAAACAACAACTAGTAATGAACTTTAGTATAGGCTCTGGCTGAATGTTGTGTATTCAGAGGTAATTAAGTTTTCAAGGGTTTAAACTTGTATTTTGACATACTGTTCTCTCCATTACCCTTAGACCAATCAAAATGTAGTTTCAAACGTCCAATGGACAGACTACTTCTTGTTCAATAAATAATGATTTCCAACATTACCCCTGTTGCCTGAAATTATTGCCACAGTTATGTGATTCTTGACCCCCTATTGATGAAACTTCAGGGGTATGATTGGTTTACTTGTATTTCGAAATGTGTGCTAATGTATTCAGCAATATACTGTTTGTTGGCTGTAGATGGCGCACTGTTGTAATCTGTTGAAATCGGTCTAGCACAAACTGTTTTGATTGGATATCGAAATTTGCACATTTTAACTTCCAACTTATTAGGTTTCATTGTCATGATATTGTAACTTAAGAAAAAATGACATCAATTATATTGGGGTCGCCATATGATATTAGGATGGAAAGTATGGTCAATTTTCTTATTGATCACGTGTCGACCGAACTTAACTTTTTCAGTGATGTAGATTAAAGTGATCACTTAACGTGACGAAGGAAAATTGATAAAAATTACGTGTATATAATTTCTTTGTCAGCGTTCAGACTATGCATGTCATTGAAAGTAAACATGAAAATTTGATAACTAATTCTTGGTTATGATGATAAGCTTTTTATCAACAGACAGATTTCTAAAGAGGAGGAATGTATTTGTAAAATCTCAGGGAATGAATTTGAAGTAAATCGAACAATCGAAACAAATAGTATCGACAATTTTGATGTTTGATTATATTTCCTTGAAAAAGCTTGGATCAGATTGACAGGCGAAACGATGGATTAACTTCAAACTCATTCGCTGAGATTTTACAAATACACTCTTCCTCTTTAATGTCTCACATCAACTCGGCACCCATATACTGTAAAACTATTCAATCAAATTTAGACGAAAGTTCTTATTTAGACAGATTTCTAACTATCATAGCGATTATTATGCCTAAAATCTAATAAAATCTTGAATGAACAAGAAGAAAATTATTTCCCATTTAGTTATTTTATTGAATCATTTTAACATATCATTCAAGCTTGTAAAAATTCCCATAAGCATATGAACAAATCACTGCGGTAAGATAATGTAAACGGGATATGTAATTAATCTGAAACTATCTCCAGGTTACTTTTGGAAACAGTAATTTTCTAACAAAATAGAGATGTTTTGTATCGCTTAAAAATGGCATCAATAATAGCCCAAAAATATTGTGTTCTCGAGTATCATAGTCTGTAATTAAATAAATAATCCATATCAGAAGGGTTTTGTGGATATTATAGTAATGTCAGTGATTGAGATCATGAATCAATTGAAGCTAGACCAGCATGGAAAACCTGGAAGCACTGGACGGCCGTTTCGTCCTATTGTGAGACTCTAGGTTTTCCATGGTGGTCTAGCTTCAATTGACTCATGATCTCAATCATTGAAATTAATAATTGTTGCATAATTTTACAATGTTATCAACACTAGAATTATTTTCAATAATAAATTGTCCATAAAGACTCCAATATAGAATGAAGTTTTTCTGTGATTAATTAGGTATGACCAGAAACTATTTAAAAAAAATAGTTATAAGATGGATGACAACTGGGTATTAAATGATGTTGTAATAGCTCGTGAAAAAACGAGTAACAAAATTTTAGAAATTAATATTATTAAGTACAAAACTTAATTTATGCAAAGTATGAAACTAGTCGACGTAATTACTTACAATATACGGCTGTAATACTAACAATGCATCAATTGCACTCTCTTCAAAAACACAGAAACCATACATGATTTATAAAACAACAGTTATTTATTTCTTAGATGTGTGTTAATACATAAACATAACAATACTGAAGATACACACATCCTGAAGGCTCCAAGGGACCTCTGCAAGTGATTATAAACGGTGGAATATTGTCGATTTCGCGTTCTATGTTAACTTAACATGGTAATATTGGATTTCTGTTCGATAGACTTAGTTATACTAAACAGTGTCTAATAAAGCTATGATGTATTTGCTGGTCATTCTATCTACCCAGTTGTATCCACAAAAACAATCAGACATAGAAGTCGTTTGAAAATTGCTGATCACTAAAATGAAGAGAATCTACAATATCCTGATTTTCTAGATATTCATGTTTTTCAAGCTCCGTTTTTCCTCCATGGATCCGTGCCCTTAATCAGTCCCAAAATTTAAGTATGTCAGTGTTTTGGTGGTGAATAACGTTACTTCAGAACTAATTTAGTTACAGTAAATATTTTTATCCAATGTTAGGCTGGTACCAGTATTCCTGAGAGCATTATTCAGTACAGTTACAAAGACAAACAATAAGACATTGCTAATGAAGGATGGTGATCTATTTCTGACATTAATCTTACTCTACAAGCAAATTTATTTTCATTTTGATTACGTTTTGTTTAAGATCTAGTAAGTCTTTAATATATATATCATTCTTGATCTCTCTATATTTTGTTCGACACTCAGATCATTCTGACTTGAATACTTCAAGTCTTAACAAACGCATTCATCGAATTTTGACCTACGACCTTCCACAATATTTCGCGTTAATTTCGAGATTTCGTCAAGAGGTTGCTTTCATTGGTTCAGATGGTGGAATTATTAGCTCCACCGTAGCACCACAAGTCCAAGCTGTGTTTCCTCCAGGATCACTTCAAAAAGAATTAAAGTTGGCTTGCAAGTATGTAATTTACCTAGTCTCATTCACTGTATTTGAATATTTGTAAATATTACTTAGTATAATAGGATTTTATGATATACACAATTGTCATAAAAGTTTTTAAGACATGGTACTTATATTTATGTCCTAGGCCCAAATTATTCCTAATGATGTCATCAACCGTTTAGCGGATGGTCGTGTTTCTGTATCTCCTGTCGTAAGCATTGAGCCAAGACGACGCAAATTTCATAAGCCCATCACACTTACGATACCGGTTCCACGTCATTCAGCCAAAACTATTCCAGATACAACAAACAGCTCACCAAAAGTTCGACTTCTATGTAGTCTATCTGGTGGAATAAATCCAGCCGTATGGGAAGATATAACTGGTTCAACACCTATGACACATCATAAAGATTGTGTTTCATTTACTACAACTGTTTCTGCTAGGTAAGTTCATTTTCTATTTCATCATAGAAATAAATAACAAGTGAACTGATGTGAATTTACTAAAATTTTAGATAACCATTTCTTTTACTGTACTCTTGAATCCTTACATTTTCTGAAAGAAGGAAGATTTCATTTCATAGGTCGATGAAGCATAAGTGAGGCCTGAAATAAAATGAAATAATGGAGTTTAGTTTTCTATTTGAACCATGGATAAAACATGAATCCTGGAAAACTATCACATCCTTTTTATTAGGTAGGACTTAATGTTTACTCAAATTTATCAAGCGTTTACAGAATATTAATTCAGAATGTTATACGGATTCATTAAATTAATTTTTAAATTCTAAAGATACAACTCAATTAGTGAATAATAAAAGCAATAGCACTTGGATGTTATTATGAAAGAAATACTCTCGTGAACATTGCTATATAAATGAGTCATTATTCATAAACACGTTATTCATTTCAAAAAACCATATTCGAAATAATTGGAGGGAAAAGAAGAAAGATAAAATTATGCAGATATGATATGGTATTTAATGGTTGTCTGACTAAGATTAATCCATGATGTAAGCTGCTTAAGTTGTAAAAATAACTAGAATTTAATATGGGAAATAATGTAGCGGGTAGAGTAGTTATTATAAAATGATGTCAAAATTGGTTACACCTCATGAAATGTGAAAATATAGAATTTCTGTAAAGTAATTTGGTATAAATAGATTTTTCATTTTTACTGTTACATTTAGCATCAACTGATTGTATAAATCAAAATCGTTAAAGCTGATTGAGAGCATAATTCATAATTTGAAATGAGAAGTCATCACTATCAAACTACCCCCTTCTATGAGTAACGTAGGTCACAAACGTAAAACTAAAATTTTGGCCGTTTAACAGACTGATGGAAAACAGTAAAAAAATGTACTGCTTGATGCAAATATGATAACCGTCTTCTCATTGGTAATAAAATAACAGCTGTAGACCTCAAAAGAAATCAGTAAATAACGTTTAACCTAAATGACAATGTTCATTTTACTTGAGTTATGTATAATCGACTGTTCACTGAATAGTAATAATGTCATGTCCGTCTAGTCGTTTGATGCTGATCATATTTTGTCGATCAAACTTCAGTGTCATAGCCAGTCTAAGTGATTCAAAATCACTACGTCTTTAAAATGAATGTGGATTTATCTGAAAAACGAGTTATAACAGGAAATATCTCTTGTAAAGCTCTTTAAAGCTATAATAACATCACAGTACTCGAAAGGTTATAATTGTAACTTATTGTCCCCTTCATTTTCACGATGTTTGTTGTGCTTGCTATTAAAAAATCAAATTAGTATGAGGGATTTGTGATGGTAGAAATTTTGCAGTTTAACTCATATTTGCTGGACTAGAGAAAATGTAATCATTCTGCAGTAATTTCCATTTCACTTTGTTTTCCCTAATAATACAGTACATTGATGATCTCTTCAAAAACAAATACCATCTTTATTTCTTAATATTTGTATACCTGCACCTCGTTATATTTGAATATAGATTGTGGTTGATGGATTGCCCACCTGATATTCCGGTTACAGAGCTAGCAACTCGCATTTACGATGAAAGCATTGAACCACCGATTTTGGGGAGATTTGTTATTTATGCTCGTCAGTCGACCGATCTAGAAACAGAAGTTGAACTAAAAACGCCAGATAAACTACAAAGACAACTTCCTCATGCTCAAGATATGAAGAGAAGTATTTCACGCACCAAAACGTTTACAACCGAATTCGCTCAAATTAGGTGCATTTGCCTGACAGACGGCAACAATGACAAAACTCTGGAGTGTTTAGAACATTATTGTCAAGTTGCGATCGGTCCATTTGTAGAGGTAAATAAATAACTTGATGCTAAAATTCCTCTGTTCTTCTCATAAGAATATATATTTGGCAAACATGTACATGCTTATTTTAAAATACCTATTTATATGAATAACAACAGTCTTCAGGAAACCGAATATATGAGTCCCGTTTTTTGTTCATCGATTTCATAGGGTCACTTCTACAACGAAGAGTACAACCATTCAAGTCAAGCTCCTTGATCAACACTTACCCGGTAGTTAATGACCTTGATTCATGCCCATCTATTGTTGATCCTGAAATAAATAACGTTTGTTACTTAACATATACATTTCATTTATTATCTCAGTAATTATACCCTCCGAAATTGAAGCGCTTCAAATTTCCGTTTTCATAAATACTAATTCTAATATTTGAACTTATTCAGTTATCATCAAAATACATCATTTACCATCAGAAAGTAATTTAAAATCTCTACTGTTCAGTGCCATTTGATTCATGTATACTGCACAGCCGTTAATTTGTTGGCGTTTATTATTTTTGTAACATTAAATAAGAAACATACTTTTGTGATATCCCAAAGTGTAGAAAATTGTATTTCTTAAGTTTTGTGACTTAATTTAAGTCACTTTTTCAGAGTAAGTAAATATCCTAAATAAAATTTATACAAGTTTGAATAGTACAAAAGAAACAATTCGATCGTACTGTAAACATCGAATGCCTGAATCATCTATACAACAGTTTAAACTAAGCATTCTTCCTTATTTGCATTATTAAATAGAACGTGCTCAGGCTAGCAAATGAAAGCTATGCATGCTATTTCCAAAACTGCTCGCTTGATAGGTAGAATATCAAAGCGATGTATCGAAAATTATTTTCCAAAGTATTTACAGAACTATTCTCAATATGTTTTCAAGATTAGACAATGACTTGTTTTAAAATTGACTTATTTTCCAAATTACCGTATTTAGCCTGTTTACGCATTCCTCAAAACTACCAAAAAAGGCAACTATTTCTTTTGGTTGCATAAAGTAAATCAATTCACTGTGTGTAAACTTCCTTAGCCAATAAATGTAAACTTATTGTGAATACTCATATGAAATAGTTCTCCTTGGAAAAGATGCTGACAAAATGCCGAGTTTTGTAAACACCCTAAGTAACAATTGAAGCACGTTTGGGATATCGTTCGTTCCCTCCAAATACAAAAGACTGCCTAAGCATTGACTTGCATCAGCGCCTGAATTGACGGTAGGAAGTGAAGCAGTTGGACACATAGATTGCTTTAATTATCTTGGGAGCCTCGTCAGTCCTTAAAATCTGGTATCTGACGAAATTAATGCACCGATTCAGAACGCTCGACTGGCTTTTGCCAGCTTGTGTCGCTGGTGGCGTAGGCGAGATATCCGTCTGCCAACCAAATAACGAATTTACTGTGCAGTAGTTTGCTCTGTTCTACTTTAAAGATGTGAAACATTGCCATTAAGAATGGAGTATACTCGTAGATTATTAGTATTCGATCACAGGTGTTTCCGAAGCATTTCTCGTGTGTAGTGAGACCGCTGAGTAACCATTGCATAGGAATATGGTACTAGGTAAGTGTGGGAAACTGATTGATGAGGTAGTAAATCTCCATCAACTGAGGTGGCTGAGAAAAATGTTACGTATGCCCAACCACCGCCTACCTTGACTTTCCGTGTTCACTGCTGTACATGTAGACTGGAATAAATTTAGAAGCAGCCAAACCAAGACGTGGTATCAGTCCATAAAGCCATCGGCAATAGAACTTAGACATGTTAAAGGGTACGGACTACTTGGTTGTGGTCCGCTGTGATTGTCGTAGCCAATGGTTAAAGACTTTAAGTCAAACTGCTCAAAATAATTTGAAATGGCACACGTACATCCATTCTTTGTCTTCCCTCGAATCCTGGGTTTATGAATCCTCCATAACAGTTTCCATTTTTGTCTCACTAATTTATACTTTTCTGAATCGCATGTTCGATGACTAATTTTTTCCATTATCACTCACGCTGTTACTACCTCTATTATTCTGGGATTTGGCCTGACAATTTCGTCTCTCTGTGTTGATGGAGTATAGCAACCCGAACTGATATACATACGTACCAGGTTCTAAGTTGTAACTAACTGACTGACTAGCGTGAATATTCTATTCAAGTACTTTTAACTACACTTGTATTGATCATAAACAATACAACATAAAAGGCCAAACTGGACAGTCAAATATGTAGTAAAAAAGTTTATCTTTCCTAATTATCGCACGTCCTAAGGATAGCAAACACAAGAAAAAAGGAAGGATACAAAGGTTTAAAATCATTAGATGTGCACTATTCTTGACAAATGCTTTATATAGGTGCACTCAAACCAACAGGATCCACATCACGTCATAACAGAAAAGATCTGTAACTAACAGCTTTTATTTTAAGGGTTACAGTTGTTTGACTAGAGTCGGGCAAACAGTTAATGACTTTATAGTGTTTCTTCACCTTATTATTTTAATTATTCTGATGCCCTAAACTCCTTTAAACTCAACTTGAACCTTTAAATGACAAATATATGTTATGTTAATCCGTTAATTTAGCACATGATATGATTGACAATCAGCCTAGCGTCCTTGATGGTCTTTTTCCCTATCCAGCCTTGCCTGTTGAGTCCAGAACACCACTATATGAATCATTTATTTCAGACATACTTTGCTTGTATACAAGCAAATGAGACCACATCATACCATAAAATAAAAAATAACATTTGTACAAGATCAAGCCAAAAAGTAGCTGTGAATATGAGAGACTGTAATTAATAGACTGAGTATAACTTAAGAATAGTAAATCGTATAATGATAGTTTATATGTCAAAATAAAGCTTATAATAAGTGGAATATAAATATACATAATCTAGTTATTCATGAGTTATACAATAGGAATATATATAATATTAGTCCATTAATAGCTCTCCGAAGTTACCCATAATTTCATCTTCGCTAGGATATAACACAATCAGTGCCGGTCCACATTACCACTAACTTTTATCCATGGTTTAAAAAAATATCCAGTACGAAAGGCGACATTTTGTGACCCCGTTATCCATGAGCCTTTCAAGGCAATAAGTGATCAAATAACCCTACGTGTGAGTTCGTCGATGGGCACTGAGGAGTTCCATACTCAGACGAAACGTCTGTCCAGTGCTTCCAGGTTTCAGTTGCGGTTTAAGATTGATCGGTTCATGATTTCAATGAAAATCAACAACGTCTACACCCCCATACTGAAAAAAAGATATCGTCAGCTTTGAGCTTTTTAATTCTAATTTATTTTTTTCATTTGGTAATACACATGGGTTCCTTCTGGCATATCAAAAACTGTCCTGTCACACTAACATTTCTTTGTAACCCTATCAAAATATTAAGAAATTATTTACAATAATGCTTTGCCTTTTATTTTAGATTCAACAAAATAAGCCTATCTGGATTGAAATGGTTGGAAATCTGGTACCAGTGTTAAGATCTGATGAACAGTTGAACTTTGCCATTCGACCATTCCATGATAACAGAATTACATTCCCAGTTCGATTGCGAGACGTACTGGATCATGAACCAGATTCAAGTACAGTTACTGGAAAAATTGCATTTGTACGTGAACCACGCAAAGCTCAAACAACTTTGGATATGACTAGCGCACAACACCAACGTCTAATCACTCTATTAGAATTCAAGCTACCAATTCCAGATAAAACTATTGTGATATCTACAAGAGGTAATGTTGAAAAGATTAATAAAAGTCAAATTATAGTGCTCTGTTTGCGTACAACGTCTACTGACATTTTACTATTATCACGTTTGAAGGATATTTTAAGTGTGAATAGTGACAAACACAGTAACCTGTATGTTTCATGACACCACTGTTTAAGAGCTTTGGAGAGAAGCAGAAAAGACATTACTTTCCCAGTGGTTTTACGTTCCTTCAGCCGGATAATTTAGTTAGGAAACCTCCATTATTTCAGACAACAGTGACAGTTTCTAAGAGAACTAGGATGTTAAATTCATAGCTTCACTTACATCGCTGGGTCGAAAAATTGAAAGCTGGTAGAGGTATTCTGTTAGAATATAAGATTTAGCTGGAGAAAAATTACTTAATTTTCTATTAATACATTTGAAAAACCTAAATACATGTTTGAATTCATAATTTAAAATAAACGTTAAAATCACTAATTTCTAATCAATAGGATATCACATACACATCATTATTGTATTACTAAATATGTATTATTTAGCCAACTGTATTTTTTACAATTAATACTCTTTGAAAGACTTAGAAAAACGAATAGTTTTTTTAATTTAGTGAAAACGGAACCCAACAGGTTTGCAGCAGACAAGTCGAATTTAACTGACCCATTACAAAATAGGTGAAAGCAAAGTGTAGATATTTTCATAACAAACAATATACATTGTAGCAATCTTCAAAACATACTAAATCAAAAAGTATTGTTGTCTTGAAAAACAAGTATAAATAATGTAGAACCAGATATTATCAGACGGTTTGAGCTTGATTGTCCACCAGGCACTTGAAATCGGCGGAGATTGTAAACGATTAGGGCCTCATCTTGGTTTCTCTGAGCAGGATATTAAAACGATAGATAGAATTCCACTGAACGGTATAGCATCTAGTCGACTTGGGAATAAAAATCAGTGAGTGGAAAATATGATTAATTTATGGTAACACAGAGCAATGTTATCAGGTTTGACAAAGATGCTTTAGGTAAGTGATCTATGGAATCGTTCTGTGGACTAAATGATCCTATAAAAGCACAACATAGACCAGCGAAATAGACCACGACTAGCTAGATTCTAACCTAGCAGATAAGTTCAAAAACTAGCCTATCACTTCTCATCAAACAAAGAGTATTATTTTCAATAAATTTTATTCAAGTTACATAGTTATACATATAACCAAATCAATCAAACAAAAAATTACTGAGTTTAAGGCAAATACATCTTTTGAAACTATGAAATGTGAATTTAGGATCGTTTGGAAAAGAAAAGAAACTGATTAAGGCTGAAATGACTAGCATGTATTGTTAACTAGAATCACTATATGAGTCAGTTGGATTTGTGAGATCATTAGTTAGAATAAACATAGATAACAAGAAGTGAGAGAAATAATAATTTGGGTATAAATTGCATCAGATGTTTAATGGAAGATAACTTAGTGCATGAAATGGTAGGAATTAAGTAGGAAACAATAAAATCGGGTTAATCCTAACTAGTTTCTTCATGTGCTTACAAGACTAATAATAATGGTGGACATAATAATAATAATAATAATAATAATAATAATAATAATAATAATAATAATAATAATAATAATGATAATAACACAAGGTCATGTGAAATAATAATAATAGTGGCAGTAATAATAACAATTACAGTAACAATATTCGAATAACAGGAATTTGAAATATGAAAATACAAAAGGGGAAGACCGAATGTATATTGGTGAAACTGATACGACCACTGGCCTATTGGGCCTGAGATGAGTCAGGGTAAAGAAGAGACTGAATAAATTTGTTTTGTACACGAAGCTTCGGTCTTTCAATCTGAATAACTAGTGCTTCCACCATCCTAATAACTTTGTTTGACATTTTTGGCATACAATTGCCAATACGATAAACTGCCAAAATGATTGATTTATGTTGACATTATGACCCATTTAAACTAAATGAGACATTACTGAGCTATTCATTGTATTGATTACGCTTGTGCTTAGCCAGTGTGCAAAGTGTTTACGATCCCGAAACTGTAAGTTCCTAGAAATCCAGCCAACGTTACTTGTTCCACATGTTTAACTGAACTGAAAACGAAGGTGACTAATCAAGATAATTAGTCTTTTACTCTCGGAGTCACCATTGTACATTATTCGTAGCTTTCCTGCATCGAACGTCCTTTGAACTGTTGTGATAAGTCTCCTCAACATTATTTCACTGTGTGCAACGCCTCTGAATTTCAAGCACATAGATAACGATCCCACTCCTATAGTTTGGGTATTTATCACTTCTGCGACCATATATTTGTTCATGCACATTCCATCGTATCCACTTCCTCTAAAAATATTGCACAAGGCCTTCAGCTCCTCTTCAGCCTTATCAGTTGAGCATATGGTCATTGAGTTTCTTTTGCACTTCAGTAGTAGGAAGTTAGGGAAACGTGTACATTGTTGTGTCCAAGTACTTTTATCACTTAGATCTATCAGCTCTTTTTGTCAGTAGGATATCCAAAATGCTATTTGCCTTCACTTGCCTCTCCGTTTGTAAGCTTAGTTGCATGACGCACTTATTAGATTGCCTTGAAACCTCTAGTTGTTCTATAATGTCTTTATAAAGGATGAACGTATTTTTCATATATCAACAATAAAATCTGAAAAACTTGTCTTGTGTTAAGATGACAGTCGTGTGTGGTACGTATGCCTAATGAGAGCAAAATTCATTAACTATGTATTGCCTCCACTGAGGGATTTTTGATAAAATCAGATGATTTGATTAATGACATGAATCGAACATGTTGCATCATTTATAAAATAAAGATAAGTAAACAAATAGATGTGTTACAATATTGTGTTGACCAAGCTGATTGTTCATCGTATATTTAGACAAACCAGCTGTTTACAACAAGTAAAAGTGATTGTTGTTGTTCCTATAATAAGAAATGGATTGAACAAAATGCAATAAGAAGTTAAGGCTTACTTATTAATTATTAGTTGGGATGGGAAGGCTAAGCGTACTACATCTCCCTTATTAATATTGTTTGTGTAGGGCTTTAGCTGTTAATCTCTCTTTTTCTGAACTAAAACCTTTTCGGTAGATTCTTGTGCCATTGAAATCGGTTGTATGACTAGGCTCTATTGAATCTAATTCTATCATTGACTTGTTTTCTAGTTTTTGTTCGGGTAAGACATTTCGGCAGCTGAATGTCAGGGTAAAGGCACACAAATTTGCTTGTAGCACATTCCTAAATCAGATTTCAGAAAACGATCTTAATTTTCAGCCGAGAATTTAGGAAGTAGGACAAATTGTTGGTGACTTAATGATTAAATTTGCAGATAATTTCATACATGACTTCTAGTGCCATTAAATCATAAAAAGTAGCCTGTTGTATGAGGTAAATAGGAATGATAGTACTTGAGTGCCAAGAGTCTTGAACTGGTTTCTTTTTTTGGTATAAAATGTTAGTCACCACCTAGAATAATGGTTTGTTACCATTCTGATCGTTCAAAGTAAGAGCTCAGTGAAATCACGTTCTTAGTGATGTACTGGACAAGGCACCTTTGTGGTGTACAAGTGCACAAATTTACATGTTTAGTCTCTAGAATTTCATCTTCTAAAAACTGTATTTTGCTTATCGGGACGTCTGAACAAAAGACATGGAAGCTATAAGTTGAAGTTTAAAAAACTGGAGACTTGTTTGTCTAAAAATTCCTTTATTTATGGATCAGAAATCCTGTTATGAGATTCTAAAGTTAATAATGAATTTAGAAACGTCATGTACGCTGAATTTCATTACTTTTTATTTGAAGATCCCTGACATATCTGCGTTCTCAGTGGTTAGCGAGTAGCCCGAAATTTCCACAGCTATAATTCATAAACAACTGTGAAGCTTTGTATTTCATTTCAGCCGAACGAACTCTTGTCTATTGATTCCGCCGGTGTTCATAATGTTGATAGTTTTTTCAGGTACACATAATTCGGTACTTAATATTACTAGTTACTACAAAAACGTCAAAATAACGAAACATGATTGGTAACGTAAATTGCAGACAGCCCAGGGCTTCTGGCAGATATTATGTCGTCGACCAGAGAAACCTCATTACTGTATTTTATTTCTTATAACTGCTCAAGTTGTATCGCGTTATGGTGTATGAAACTAAGAAATGGTCAGCCATTAGGTCTTTTAGCTTGATCAATTGATCAACGAGTTTGGTAACTGACCTTATAGTTACCGTGATTCTATATCATCTTCAGTTACCACGTTTCTAACAAAATAAAGTGCTTTGAGCCAGTCATCATAGCTGCTCAAAACAATGATTATTCAGATTCACACATTATCAATTTCAGCCACGTTTTTATGCGTATAGGAAAACCTCTCTTGTCACCTTCACATAAATGTTGGCGACAACACTTAGTAACTGGAACGATATTGAAACATAATTAGCATTTGCCTTATGAAGTCAGTTTTTAGAAAATTATTATGATATCTAAAATCACCTTTTTGGGATTGATTTCAAGATGTTGGCTTAATTTCATTTTCGCTCATCAACACGGTTAATTTCTGCTTTGAGGAATAAATTTAGTTTATTATTATTACATCTTTATTTTTATTTTTGTCATTATCATACACCTAGATAATCGTCTGGCTGGCGCGCTCACTAAAATAAATCAGTTTGACGCTGTTCCTCCAGTCATGACTGACTTACACCCAGTAACGACGAAAGAAGAAAGAATAACTGAAACTGACGTCTTCGAGGGACGACCTATCCTGCCATTGGTTGCTAAAGAAATTTTACCACAAGTAACATTAAACGAAGTACTGACATACCCGAGACGTGAAGCAATAAATAGTTCTTTAGGTTAGATGCTTTTTGAAATTTTTTGAAAGACCATTGTTATTACTGTTAATTTCATAGTTCTAGGTCTTATGATAAAGCGTTCGAAGCTGCATTCTATCATTAATACAGTAATACGTAAAACGAAGACTCAATTCGGAAAAAAATCTTTGAATGTTACTAGAACTGTGACACTGTTACCTACGTCTGAATTAATTTTATTGCAACTATTTGATACTAGTTACAAACTAATTCATTGACGTGCTGGCTAAAATTACCCTCAAAGTAGCCAAAAAGAAAATAATGATTTATTTGGCTTTAGAATGATTATTTTCACTAGTAAAAAATTACATACAATCTGTTTCTAAACATCACTGTAGTGTTTTTACAAAGTACCCAACGAAAAAAATTCGTTCTCTTTTTTATCAATATTAATATTTAATAACTAAGCAAGTTATAAAGTATAACGAAAAATGACAAATGTGTGTAGATTAACGTAAAAATGTTGACACTGTTGCTTGACTACTTGCTGTTTGTACGGTCTTTCATTTTTTTAAAGAAAGAATTAGTTAATATAGCCTTATGTATTTTATGACAAAATCATCTAATATTTCTTGTAACGTTGTCGTTGGTAATCGGATAATTTTATTTTTTCTTAATCAGTATAATTAGGTTCAATAGGTTTGTAAATATTTCATAATTCATAGTCGGCTTGTATGCGTTTTGTTTAAATTATAAGTAAGGGATTTTGTGGAGATTTTACAAATTTCAATAGTCGATTGAAGCTAGACCACCATGGGAAACGCGGAAGCAATTTCGTGGATTGGTTGAAGTTAAACATTAACACCGTTGGACGCCGGCTCAGTTGTGTAATGGTCATGCGCTCGCGCGCGGGACTGGTAAGCCATGAGTTCGAATCTTGCGGGGTGCGGGATCGTGGATGAGCACTGCTGAGGAGTCCCATACTAGGACGAAACGGCCGTCCAGTGCTTCCAGGTTTTCCATGATGGTCTAGCTTCAACTGACTCATGATTTCAACTATTTAAATTATAAGTGATTATATGAATATGCCTTTACTTACCACAATGCCCTCATTTATAGTAAGGCTTACCTATCTCTTTTCAGTATGGCCAAATTAGTTAGAAATAAGCTTTAAACATGTAGGACGATATCAGACTTTCAGAGCTACAGTAATAAAATTATACAAAATGGAATAATTTTAAATACCGATTACTGAGATATTCGCTGTTTTCCTTGTTATATGATAGCAATGTTTTATGTAGCTCATTAAGTGAATGTGTTCTCATTTGTTTTGTTATTCCTCAGAGAAATTCATAACTGGATTCAAATTTTGTCACAACATTTACACTTTATTTATTCTTCTTGTTCTCTTTTCACACTTTTTGTCTTGAGAAATTCCTATCCTCGTGTAGGTGTAAAGTGTAGCAATTTGAAAAAATTGTTTTTTGGGCAAAATTCTCAATTTTTTCGTTACTGACCATTCGACATTTGGGTTAACTTTGGTTAAGCTGATGAGTTTAAATAATTACTAGTCAAAGATTACTTACTTACTTATTTACGCCTGTTACCCTTCATGGAGGGGCATAGGCCACTCACCAGCACTCTCCATCCAACTCTGTCCTGGCCCAACCTTTCCAGTTGTTCCCAGTTGCTATTGATCCTTTCCATGTATGCTTCCAATTCCCGACAGAGTGTGTTCTTCAGCCTTCCTATTTTCCGTCCCCCTTCACGATTCCAAATTAACGCTTGTCTCGTGATGCAGTTTGATGATTTCCACAATGTATATCCTGTCCACATCCAACGTCTTTCCCTTATCTCCTCTTTAGCTGGAAGTGGGTTTGTTCTCCTCCATAGCAGGCTGTTGCTGATAGTATCCGGCCAACAAACATTTAGTATCTTAAGTAGACAATTGTTTATAAATGCTTGCACCCTTTAGGTGATGGTTGTGGTAGTTCTCCCATTTTCAGCTCCATACAGTAGAACTCTCTTGTCGTTCGTATTGAGGATTGTGACTTTGATGTTGGTTTACAGTTGTTTTTAGTTCTATATGTTCTTGAACTCTAAGGATGCGGCCCCTGCTTTGCTAATCTGTGCCTTTACGTCTGCATCAGATCCTCCTCGTTCATAGATGATGCCTCCCGGATAGATAAGTGAATGTTTCTACCACTTCCAGAGTTTCTCCATCAAGTGTGATTGGGTTTGTGTTCTCCGTGTTGTATTTGAGGACCTTGTTTTTCCTCTTGTGTATGATGAAGCCTACTGATGCAGAAGCATCTGCTACACTGGCTGTCGTCGCCTGCATTTGTTACTGTGTATGGAATAAAAGATCCAGGTCATCTGCAAAGTTCAAATCGTCTAGTTGCATAAAACCTTTCCATTATATTCTGTGCTTCTCCTCAAATATCAAGGTCTTCATAATCCAATCAACTACCAAGAGGAAGAGAAAGGGTGAGATTAGGCAGCTTTGTTAAAGATGGATATGTATAATTAACTCTATTTTTTATTGACTCACAGAATTGAACTAATCGTCCTGAATTCCTCATTTATTAAACACACCATGTCCACTTCGTTAGCTGTGTTTATACCATTAGCTTTGTTAGTACGTTTTTAATAGGAAAATCGTAGAATATAATCAGGAACCATCGCTTTTATTTCAATAAGTAAACTACTAAATAATGCAGTGATGATCTAATTGATCAGCTTGAAAACCAATCTAAGAAACATCAGTTTGTCTGTGAACTATCGCCATACATCAAATTGGCTTAAATGTCAATGGTAGGTACAAATGAATATGAAAACTTGGAGTAAATAAGCTCACAAGTTCTGAATTAGTTATAGGTGCTCAAAAGTATAAAATATCAAAGTTAACTATAAATACTCGAATAAATTATAAGGCGTAATAAATTTTTTTTTGAAAGCTTTTGGTAAACGATAGCAAGGAAACGAATCTAAAAAGTATGATTGAATAGTTGTTTAAAATAATGATACTTCGAACATGACACAGAAGATCACTTGCGAGGTCATTAATATTATTTTAAGTACCTACTTGTTAGTCAAACAAGTAATTTTATCACGTACTGTAGTGCAACATACATTCTTTTAAAAACTCAACTTATCAGACCTTTTTGATTTGTATTTTATTTTAAAATGGCAGTTGGTTACATAATTTAAACTATCTAGCATACAAACTGTGATTTACTCTCTCTATTATTCCCTCTACATATTTTCAGTTCACAGATAGGCTTCCAAACTTTATTCATATAAGATGCGTACCTTTCGCCCATTTTTAATCATTGAAAAACAAACATTTGAAAGTTAGCAGATAGTTAAAATTTTGTTTGATGATTGTATAACAATTCTTTTTCAAACAGACATGAAATATCAGAAAATGGAAGAAAAGAAAAAACAAGAAACAGATACAGTGTTTTCTTGGTCTGAAAATGCATTTCTTTCGTCAGATGAAGGTGTTTCGACCATTTCGGCTTCTGGTGAAACAGATGATCTTCGTAAACCAGAAGGTAAAACCAAATTTCATGCAAATTATTTCCACTTCATGAAATACTTAGTTTCACTATATAGCATGATGTGGTATACATGCTAAGGATTGAATACTATGCTAAAAATTACTCAAATGTGTCAGAAATTCATCTTGGGAAGAAAGAATGTGTGTTTCATTGGTCAAGCAATACACAGGTTAAAACGCTAAACTTGACTTTAATCGGGCACCGTTTAAATTAATTTATTTTCCGCTCAAGTGGTGTTTTCAAGAGGAGATTTCTTCTGAAATAGCTTTGATCGTTTACTTAGTTAATGTGATAAACTAAAAAGTAATACCCATTAAAATCATTAGTCAAAAATCTCTAAACTCACTTCCTACTTGGAACGCAGACTGAATGGTTAAAATACGCATTCAACACAAATGCATTGATGAACTTATAGCAGCTGAAATGATTACAAATGTTGATGTAAATTACTAACTTTTCACTACCATTACTAGTGAATGCTTATGCCTTGTCACCACGTGGATTCCTTATTTTATATATAAACTCAACTAAATACATGCCCCGTAACATATAAGACTAAGAACCTTTTAATATTCATAGAAATAAAAGTTTGATCAGTGAAAAATAAACCCCAAAATATTGATGCACGATAAACTAATATTAAGTAAAATACGAATGAAAACTAATTTATAATGCTTTGAAAGTATTTTGGAGGAATTTTGACAAACTTTGTTACTAGACTTATTGAACGTGTCTTTACTTTAAGAAAAGTAACACTAGAGTATACAAAAAACTCATTTTTCAAAGAAAACTCAACATTGATTAAAGTTAAATTTGGTTTCAGGGTTAATAGATCTCTCCTTACTTCTTAAACTTTCAAATCTTCGGATCCTAGTAGTGAGGTGGTTTTTACTGAGTTTAATAAATACACCGGCAGGTAGTCTAATAGCCTTAAATGTTTGTATTATCAAATTAGTTAAAATAGTATATTTTAAGTCATTAGGATCCTCAAAGATTGTTTCATAGCAGTCTAATAGTACTTTGTGTAAAATATATTACTATGTTTTACACTTATTTCATCTTCTACCAAAACATTTTATCAACAGTCGTTTAATAGCTCCACATCTACAAAGGATGATTGTTAAACGTGAACATTACTGACACAATCCACCCATCAGAACTTTATTGTTGCACTGCTCTCTTTTTTTTAGTAAAAAGATTTCAAATTTTACAAACTTTGTGAATAAAATAACTCATTCTATTCGTGTATTTTATTTGTATTTCGATGAATCAGCAACAGTTTTACAGTCTGTTTCTCAGGCTGATGTTACAGACCAAGAAAAACTTCCTGTTGATGTTCATACTGTTCCAACCATGTTTACTTCAGTTGAAAATGCATCAGATCAAATATTAGTGTTAAGTCACTATGACGACGTCACTGAAGAAAAACCACATGTTCACTGGCAAGAAGCTTTGCTGACACATTTGGAATCAGTTGGCGTTCGTTTAGATTTACCAACAAAGTTCAGCCAATTAGCAGACAAGCAAATCGAAGAACCAGATAGTCAAATAACAGAAGTTTTCATGAAACCAATATCTCAATATGTTGAACATAAATCTACTTCAACTGACAGAAAACAGATAAAATATGTCGTACAAGAATTATTAGATGCCATTGGACCACAATTCGTCGACATTGCTTTAGGTAAGCAAAACTATTATAGTAGCGTTTTATTATTCTTATTAAAAGTATGCCAGTGTGATTCATGATTCTTCCCTACTAGGCAAAGGAGCTTTTTTCTTCCCATTAATCTGTATACTAATCTGATTTCTGAATAATGGTGAACTGAAACATTTGCTAAAAGTGAAAATCGCAAACAGTTTTTTTAATTATTTTTCCGTCCATTGAATTGGCTTAGTGTCTCACCACTAATTAGCTCTCATTAGTTATGATTTATTGAATTCAGCTTTTCATCAGCAATGAGCAGAATTATTCTGAAATTCCCTGATAAATAAGGACATTTTATAATTTTCCGTATATATTAAGAAAGCACAAAACGATAGCACCATCCCAAGATACTGTGAAAAGATTCATTCAATTAACAATAGTTTTACACCAAATCTTATTACACTCCAGCTCAAACTGTCTCTTATAAATGATTCAATGCATTCTCATAAAATGACTCTGCACCACTTTCTGCCTGTTTGTATTAGCCTAAAAATCTTCAAGTTAACTATTAATCAGATGGTATTTATCTATTATCAATAAGTAGAAATTTTTTGAAATTATCACTCACTTAGGCACACCTGGTTTCCGCTATTCAAAGCACAAAGTCTCGGTACAGATTAGCTGCCTAAAGTAATTTGAATATGCAACAAACTGTATGTCCCTTTGTTAGCTATGTTCTTTTCACTTAGTGTACATGAATCACAAATAATACTCGCCCGACCACAAAGCATTAGATGAGTAGCAAAAAAGTGTTTGAATCAATAAGCTACAATTAATTACCTAAATTCAAAACAATAGTAACCTTGCTACTAAAGAGCTAATTTTAGTATACAGTACTCGGTACAACGTTACTCACTAATAGAATGGTTTTTTCATGAACTGGTAAATAGAAAGATTCGTTATAAACTGTAAATGGTCAGCACAAAAGCGAGCATGATGTTAATATATTAAATGGTGATGAAAATGAATAACAAAGAATCTAATTTTCTATATCATCATTATAGAATTATTTACGACTACATTTCCTTATCAAAAATCTGAAACTGTTTTGCTTGATTTAACTTAGTTGAACAGCTACTGCCAACTGATCGTGGAGAAATAATGGAAGATATAATTGAACCTAGAACATTTGATCGTAAGGAACAGACAATCTCACTTTTGAAGGATTCTCAAAGAGTAAGAACCATATCGACGGTAACACCTTCTCAATCCCCTCCTGTTCATAGTACAAATAAAAGTGGAATATCCGAATTTACAGATACACTGAATACTGAGTTCATTATGCCACAAATCTTTCCTACTGAAGAAGACACGTCAACTGAGGAGGTCATCAGAGTTAGTAGAGTCCAAGAAACAGATGAAACACTTAAAAAACGAGTCTCAACTAAACAATCATCTATAATGTCATCTACAATAGGAATGGAAGGTAAATATTTGGGTTTTCCCTAGTATTTGTGATCACACCCCACATATATGTTAATGTATAGTCGCCTCTTACATCTAATTTACAACAGTTTCTCTTTCTGAAGAATATAATGCATGATTAATAATGATATATTGACTACATTCTGTAGTGATTATAATTTAAGTGTTAAAAGCTGATATTACCTATGTTTATCATAGTAAATATGAATTACCCGATCGTATATTTAAATAATTTAGTACACATACTTTGAATAAAAGTGAGTGTAGAGCTTGATTTTTAATATGAAATCAAATTGTATATAGCTGTCTAAATTACAACTTCATCAGCGGACGAACTTCCAAGTAAGACATTATTTTGATACATTAAACATACTAAGATGCGACTAAATACTTTCCTAAAAGGCACAAAATATTAAATTAATAAGTAGTCGCCATCATAAGCTGTAACACTGATAACTATGACAATGATAGCTATAACATTGAATAACCACAAGATATGATTCAATTTGCAATGAAGGTGAAAATAATAAACATCCAACCACTTAAATTTGACAAACTTTTATTAATTTATCATGTTCAGATGTTTAGCAGTCTGATGGACGAACATAATACCTGAAATTAAATAAACATCACCAAAACAATTAAGTAGAAACTACTTCCAATAGTCGTCCCTCACATTTTGTTGACTTATTTCTTTAGAAAATTAGAATTAATCATCATTAAATCTGGCAAGATTTCACTTATTTGTTTATACGCTTAAACACTATCAAAGTTCAGCGTTCAAAGTATATTAGGTCAAGTACAAAGTTGACTGAGATACAGGATGCCGTCATGCAGTGAAATTCTACTTGTAGAAATCTTCGATTCATTCATAATTCTGTTGGGAAGTTTGCTTGTTGATTGATAAAATCATTGTTCACTTCAAATGTACACCTCCTAAAATAACACAATTTATTTGAAGGGGAAATTGTGAAAAATTCTTAAGCATTTCTTTAAGAAATCGTGCTTACCACTTTACGTCTTGGATCTAACCCAATACAAGGTTTTAGTGTGAACTGACGAAGAATCCCAAAACACGTAGCACTAGATATCCAGTGCCTCATAGATTTTAATAGTCCACTTGTTGATTATCATTCAGATTTAAAATTAGTATATTTTTGCCGATTTTTTAGGCATATGTATACATCAGAAGTAGTTTAATAGTTCTGTATATGTGACTTTTGCATTTGATATAGGGATTTCTTTTTTTACCGAGTAAAACTTTTGAACCACTAAATCAACCACCTTAAATGAATATCCGTTTTGCCTTCATAACAAGGAGAAGCATGTACACCAATATAGTTTTACGAAGTTCAATACTTTTTCAATAAGCTAATAGTAACAATTAGTAACGGCTTTCAAGCCCAAGTTAATAACTAGTTATCATTATTTCTTTATCGTGAGTGCACTAATCATTAAAATCTTTATAAGATGAATACAGAATAAATTGTAAACATGTTTGCCTAAATTTAATAATAGCACATGCCTTATGGAACGTTTCAATATTTTAGAAGACAGCTACATATCTCCACAAGAAGTGAATGAAGAATTCCCTGTTCCGTGGTTAGAAAACTTGCAGGATGAAGAATCATTCGAAAATGCTTATCAGAGAGCAGTACTAACCAACAATATTCGACAAATCGACAGAGTTCAAACTTGCAAAATCACAGAACCTGAAGTCTCAAAAATGAAATCTGATATTAAAATACCTCCCACCGTAAACGAACTTCAGATTCCATCACCATATAAGTCTCATTCAGATTCGGTCAGTACCGAAGTGATCCAGTCAATGCCGAAAGAATCGCGTAAAATCGAAGAAGTTGAGGAAGTTCTACCAGACGGTACGGTTGTCACAAAACGCACAGAATCTGAAGAAACCACTCTCTCAGTTACTCCGGATGAATGGAAATTGGGTGTACAGGCAGCAATTGAGTCTGGAGGTTATTTGGTTGAAAAACCAGAAGAAATCACAGAAGTAAGTTAACAGGATTAACTTTCATTTTATTTGTTAAGTGGTTCACAGGTCCTTAATAATGACTTTTCTGAGTTTCAACTAGTTCTTGAATATACATCTGATTGAAAAAGTTCTCCACCTGATGTTACGGTACCATGTGAACAAGCTCAAACTTTAAAAAGTCGTCACAACTCGCTTGACTAGACAGTTACATTACATTAAATAAGTTATAATAGATTCAGGTTGTTCACACCGTCTTTCACCGTTCAGTAAGAGTGTTATATTCAGCTCTTTTAACTTTGCTTTCTTTTCATTTAGTGTGTAAATTCTGTTTATTTGAGTGCAATGTCTATTAGAGATTTCATTTCAGGTTACTGAATTTATTCACGACTTTCTGACGTGTACACATCTAATATTAAACGATCTAACATCAAGAAAATTTAGGGTTTGAAATCAGGCCTTTAACAGAAATTGAACTATCATATGTAGCATCCTCCTAATTAATAAACAAAAAAGATATCTGCAAGGGCTGAATATAACACATTCAATAACTGACTGACAAACATCAACTATTCAGTATGCGGTTTCCGTTTTATTATTGATTTCTACTATAGACCCAGTGGTTGTTACTTACCTGAGTCACTCCTGTTACCCTTCATGGAGGGGCATAGGCCACTCACCAGCATTCTCCATTCAACTCTGTCCTGGCCCAACCTTTCCAGTTGTTCCCAGTTGCTATTGATCCTTTCCATGTATGCTTCCAATTCCCGACAGAGTGTGTTCTTCAGCCTTCCTATTTTCCGTCCCCCTTCACGATTCCAAATTAACGCTTGTCTCGTGATGCAGTTTGATGATTTCCACAATGTATATCCTGTCCACATCCAACGTCTTTCCCTTATCTCCTCTTTAGCTGGAAGTGGGTTTGTTCTCCTCCATAGCAGGCTGTTGCTGATAGTATCCGGCCAACAAACATTTAGTATCTTAAGTCGACAATTGTTTATAAATGCTTGCACCCTTTAGGTGATGGTTGTGGTAGTTCTCCCATTTTCAGCTCCATACAGTAGAACTCTCTTGTCGTTCGTATTGAGGATTGTGACTTTGATGTTGGTTTACAGTTGTTTTAGTTCTATATGTTCTTGAACTCTAAGGATGCGGCCCCTGCTTTGCTAATCTGTGCCTTTACGTCTGCATCAGATCCTCCTCGTTCATAGATGATGCCTCCCGGATAGATAAGTGAATGTTTCTACCACTTCCAGAGTTTCTCCATCAAGTGTGATTGGGTTTGTGTTCTCCGTGTTGTATTTGAGGACCTTGTTTTTCCTCTTGTGTATGATGAAGCCTACTACTGCGGAGGCTTCCAGTGGTTGTGACTGTTTGTAATTGCGCGTACTAAACTATTATATAGCGCATACTCTAGTTCCAAATTATCATTAGTGAATGGGGTATCTGGCATAACGCGATACAGTCTGAGTACATCGTATCGATCGAGTATCCAGCATCCAATGTCAGTTACCGACCCTATAATCGTGTTATACTAGTATTTCGTGGAAACAAGAAAACCTTTGTATTCTTTCGCTATATCAGAACCGGGTAAGGTTGTGTAAACAAACCTAATTTTTTTAGCTGTTTAGATTAACTTGAACGGCACTTCGATTTTTAGCTTCTCAGAATAACATAGATCTATGTTATTCTAACACCATTTTCTTATTTTAGGTGGAACAAGTTGACGAAACACTAGCTGATGGAACTATAATAACTCGCTTAATAACAACAAAAAAAGTGGTTGATAGAGTTTTTGAACGTTCAATTTCAGAAGAGCAGTCCGTATCATCTGGTGTGAATGAAGAATTGTTTGTAGAAACAGATTCAACGATACCTGAAGTTTCAACTACAGAAGACCAATTTTTCTATCATGGTAACATTTTTAGAAGTGAAATTGTTTAACTGTAAAATGTACAATTTCTCGTTTTAAGTGTAAAAGAGTTATTAAAATCTAGAAAAAATAAATGGACTTAATCTCAACAATCTATAAGGCTGTACTAATGAAGAATAGTTCTAAAATCCCATATTCTTATTATGACTGTGTCATGGTATCTATCAAAAAACAAAATAGATAATATTAGAACCTTTATTCTATGTGAACACAACACAATTTTATAATATTCATGTTAGCTAGTGAATAGAATATAGGTCTTTTAGGCAAAATATTGACGGATCAGTTTATCAAATATTTCAAACTAAACGGAAGGTAGGTAATATTGATATAAAACTAATAAGTTTTTATAATCACTTCATATAGTTGATATAAAGACGATCATATCATCACAGTGTGCAATTGGCTAGAATGTAGCCCATGTGAAATAAAATTCACGCTTGTATGTGCATGTTGCTTGGTAGTTTATGATTATGAACAAGTTGAAAACCACACTCAATCAGATGCATATCTCCCCAAAAACTACCTAGATAGTCAGATTGTAATATTGAGCATTTTATCCTTAGTTTACATGATTAAATGTTTAATTAGTTTTTCTGCTTGCTTCTTCAGAAATGATATGTACCTGAATTGCGTGATGGTTATGTTATGCCTTTTGTTTAAGTTTTTTGCGTTGCATCTGGTTTCTGTTACTTTTTTGTTTGTTTTTTTTCTTTTCCTTGAAAAAAATCTATCAACAAATCTAATTTTCATTCAACAAAATCTTAATGCGAACCACGTACTATAAACAAAGACCAAAAACTTCAAGAAGAACAGAATAATGAGGAAAGTCAGGACGTTAATCAACCTGACTTAAGTAGACCAAGGACTATTTTACCAAACTTAACAGACAATAAACGGAAAGAGCAAATAAATATTTCAGAGACTGGTAGAAAAACCGACGATACCAAAGATATACTAACTGAAAATGAAATACAGGTTACACAATCCGAGCATGATGGACAATCAACACACGTATTCAAGGAAGAATACATAATTTCAGCAGAAGAAACAGAACTTACAGAAACAAATGAAAATAGACAATTACAACACGCAACACTAGAACAGGAAGACTACACAATAGGCGAAGCAAAAATAGAAGAAAATACAAACGAAACGGAACGAAAAATAGCAGCTATTAAAACAAACTCAAAGGACCTAGAAGAAATTGACGGCGGCGCCATCAGAAAAGCAATATCTAAAGAAACGAAGTGCAAGAGTAATATCCTTGATGAAAACAAAATACAAAGCAAAATTGGAGTAAGAACAAAAATAAAAGAAACAGCGATGCAAGAAAGTAAAACAAAAAAAAATGACACACATGAAAAGTCAAAAAGATGAAAAAGTAGACAAAAAAAGACATGTAAATCAACAATCAAAAACAAACGAAGTCAACCAGAAGACACAGATAAAAACATATCAAGTATATAGTGAGGAAGAAAGAGCAAAAACATCAAGATATATTAAGCTTGAAAGTCAGAAAAAAAAGCAATACGGTGAAGTTGGTGAAGGCGTATTTGAAGGGGAGACGGAAGCCGAGTCGGCAGTCGAAGTGTTCGGTGAGAGATTGGGGCAAGTTGAAGCGGACGCAGAAAGTGAAGCGGTAGAACAGGTTGAATCGGAACGTGTGTCTGTGTTCGCTCCAGTCGAATTGGAGTCTGAGGCGCTTGCAGAGACTGCAGCACAACCGGAACGGGAACGATTGGTTGAGCGTGTCGGGGAGATGGAGGCGGAATAGGGTTAAGTTGGTGAAGGTGTCTTTTAAGGGGAGACGGAAGCCGAGTTGGCAGTTGAAGTGTTCGGTGAGAGATTGGGGCAAGTTGAAGAGGACGCAGAAAGTGAAGCGTTAGAACAGTTGGAATCGGAACGTGTGTCTGTGTTCGCTCCAGTCGAATTGGAGTCTGAGGCGCTTGCAGAGACTGCAGCACAACCGGAACGGAACGATTTGTTGAGTGTGTCGGTGAGATGGAGGCGGAATATGGTGAAGTTGGTGAAGGCGTATTTGAAGGGGAGACGGAAGCCGAGTCGGCAGTCGAAGTGTTCGGTGAGAGATTGGGGCAAGTTGAAGCGGACTCAGAATGTGAAGCGGTAGAACAGGTTGAATCGGAACGTGTGTCTGTGTTCGCTCCAGTCGAATTGGAGTCTGAGGCGCTTGCTGAGACTGCAGCACACCCGGAACGGAAACGATTGGTTGAGCGTGTCGGTGAGATGGAGGCGGAATATGGTGAAGTTGGTGAAGGCGTGTTTGAAGGGGAGACGGACGCCGAGTAGGCAGTCGAAGTGTCCCGTGAGAGATTGGGGCAAGTTGAAGCGGACGCAGAAAGTGAAGCGGTAGAACAGGTTGAATCGGAACGTGTGTCTGTGTTCGCTCCAGTCGAATTGGAGTCTGAGGCGCATGCAGAGACTGCAGCACAATCGGAACGGGAACGATTGTTTGAGCGTGTCGGTGAGATGGAGGCGGAATATGGTGAATTTGGTGAAGGCGTAATTAATTGGGAGACGGAAGCCGAGTCGGCAGTCGAAGTGTTCGGTGAGAGATTGGGGCAAGTTGAAGCGGACGCAGAAAGTGAAGCGGTAGAACAGGTTGAATCGGAACGTGTGTCTGTGTTCGCTCCAGTCGAATTGGAGTCTGAGGCGCTTGCAGAGACTGCAGCACAACCGGAACGGGAACGATTGGTTGAGCGTGTCGGTGAGATGGAGGCGGAATATGGTGAAGTTGGTGAAGGCGTATTTGAAGGGGAGACGGAAGCCGAGTCGGCAGTCGAAGTGTTCGGTGAGAGATTGGGGCAAGTTGAAGCGGACGCAGAAAGTGAAGCGGTAGAACAGGTTGAATCGGAACGTGTGTCTGTGTTCGCTCCAGTCGAATTGGAGTCTGAGGCGCTTGCAGAGACTGCAGCACAACCGGAACGGGAACGATTGGTTGAGCGTGTCGGTGAGATGGAGGCGGAATATGGTGAAGTTGGTGAAGGCGTATTTGAAGGGGAGACGGAAGCCGAGTCGGCAGTCGAAGTGTTCGGTGAGAGATTGGGGCAAGTTGAAGCGGACGCAGAAAGTGAAGCGGTAGAACAGGTTGAATCGGAACGTGTGTCTGTGTTCGCTCCAGTCGAATTGGAGTCTGAGGCGCTTGCAGAGACTGCAGCACAACCGGAACGGGAACGATTGGTTGAGCGTGTCGGTGAGATGGAGGCGGAATATGGTGAAGTTGGTGAAGGCGTATTTGAAGGGGAGACGGAAGCCGAGTCGGCAGTCGAAGTGTTCGGTGAGAGATTGGGGCAAGTTGAAGCGGACGCAGAAAGTGAAGCGGTAGAACAGGTTGAATCGGAACGTGTGTCTGTGTTCGCTCCAGTCGAATTGGAGTCTGAGGCGCTTGCAGAGACTGCAGCACAACCGGAACGGGAACGATTGGTTGAGCGTGTCGGTGAGATGGAGGCGGAATATGGTGAAGTTGGTGAAGGCGTATTTGAAGGGGAGACGGAAGCCGAGTCGGCAGTCGAAGTGTTCGGTGAGAGATTGGGGCAAGTTGAAGCGGACGCAGAAAGTGAAGCGGTAGAACAGGTTGAATCGGAACGTGTGTCTGTGTTCGCTCCAGTCGAATTGGAGTCTGAGGCGCTTGCAGAGACTGCAGCACAACCGGAACGGGAACGATTGGTTGAGCGTGTCGGTGAGATGGAGGCGGAATATGGTGAAGTTGGTGAAGGCGTATTTGAAGGGGAGACGGAAGCCGAGTCGGCAGTCGAAGTGTTCGGTGAGAGATTGGGGCAAGTTGAAGCGGACGCAGAAAGTGAAGCGGTAGAACAGGTTGAATCGGAACGTGTGTCTGTGTTCGCTCCAGTCGAATTGGAGTCTGAGGCGCTTGCAGAGACTGCAGCACAACCGGAACGGGAACGATTGGTTGAGCGTGTCGGTGAGATGGAGGCGGAATATGGTGAAGTTGGTGAAGGCGTATTTGAAGGGGAGACGGAAGCCGAGTCGGCAGTCGAAGTGTTCGGTGAGAGATTGGGGCAAGTTGAAGCGGACGCAGAAAGTGAAGCGGTAGAACAGGTTGAATCGGAACGTGTGTCTGTGTTCGCTCCAGTCGAATTGGAGTCTGAGGCGCTTGCAGAGACTGCAGCACAACCGGAACGGGAACGATTGGTTGAGCGTGTCGGTGAGATGGAGGCGGAATATGGTGAAGTTGGTGAAGGCGTATTTGAAGGGGAGACGGAAGCCGAGTCGGCAGTCGAAGTGTTCGGTGAGAGATTGGGGCAAGTTGAAGCGGACGCAGAAAGTGAAGCGGTAGAACAGGTTGAATCGGAACGTGTGTCTGTGTTCGCTCCAGTCGAATTGGAGTCTGAGGCGCTTGCAGAGACTGCAGCACAACCGGAACGGGAACGATTGGTTGAGCGTGTCGGTGAGATGGAGGCGGAATATGGTGAAGTTGGTGAAGGCGTATTTGAAGGGGAGACGGAAGCCGAGTCGGCAGTCGAAGTGTTCGGTGAGAGATTGGGGCAAGTTGAAGCGGACGCAGAAAGTGAAGCGGTAGAACAGGTTGAATCGGAACGTGTGTCTGTGTTCGCTCCAGTCGAATTGGAGTCTGAGGCGCTTGCAGAGACTGCAGCACAACCGGAACGGGAACGATTGGTTGAGCGTGTCGGTGAGATGGAGGCGGAATATGGTGAAGTTGGTGAAGGCGTATTTGAAGGGGAGACGGAAGCCGAGTCGGCAGTCGAAGTGTTCGGTGAGAGATTGGGGCAAGTTGAAGCGGACGCAGAAAGTGAAGCGGTAGAACAGGTTGAATCGGAACGTGTGTCTGTGTTCGCTCCAGTCGAATTGGAGTCTGAGGCGCTTGCAGAGACTGCAGCACAACCGGAACGGGAACGATTGGTTGAGCGTGTCGGTGAGATGGAGGCGGAATATGGTGAAGTTGGTGAAGGCGTATTTGAAGGGGAGACGGAAGCCGAGTCGGCAGTCGAAGTGTTCGGTGAGAGATTGGGGCAAGTTGAAGCGGACGCAGAAAGTGAAGCGGTAGAACAGGTTGAATCGGAACGTGTGTCTGTGTTCGCTCCAGTCGAATTGGAGTCTGAGGCGCTTGCAGAGACTGCAGCACAACCGGAACGGGAACGATTGGTTGAGCGTGTCGGTGAGATGGAGGCGGAATATGGTGAAGTTGGTGAAGGCGTATTTGAAGGGGAGACGGAAGCCGAGTCGGCAGTCGAAGTGTTCGGTGAGAGATTGGGGCAAGTTGAAGCGGACGCAGAAAGTGAAGCGGTAGAACAGGTTGAATCGGAACGTGTGTCTGTGTTCGCTCCAGTCGAATTGGAGTCTGAGGCGCTTGCAGAGACTGCAGCACAACCGGAACGGGAACGATTGGTTGAGCGTGTCGGTGAGATGGAGGCGGAATATGGTGAAGTTGGTGAAGGCGTATTTGAAGGGGAGACGGAAGCCGAGTCGGCAGTCGAAGTGTTCGGTGAGAGATTGGGGCAAGTTGAAGCGGACGCAGAAAGTGAAGCGGTAGAACAGGTTGAATCGGAACGTGTGTCTGTGTTCGCTCCAGTCGAATTGGAGTCTGAGGCGCTTGCAGAGACTGCAGCACAACCGGAACGGGAACGATTGGTTGAGCGTGTCGGTGAGATGGAGGCGGAATATGGTGAAGTTGGTGAAGGCGTATTTGAAGGGGAGACGGAAGCCGAGTCGGCAGTCGAAGTGTTCGGTGAGAGATTGGGGCAAGTTGAAGCGGACGCAGAAAGTGAAGCGGTAGAACAGGTTGAATCGGAACGTGTGTCTGTGTTCGCTCCAGTCGAATTGGAGTCTGAGGCGCTTGCAGAGACTGCAGCACAACCGGAACGGGAACGATTGGTTGAGCGTGTCGGTGAGATGGAGGCGGAATATGGTGAAGTTGGTGAAGGCGTATTTGAAGGGGAGACGGAAGCCGAGTCGGCAGTCGAAGTGTTCGGTGAGAGATTGGGGCAAGTTGAAGCGGACGCAGAAAGTGAAGCGGTAGAACAGGTTGAATCGGAACGTGTGTCTGTGTTCGCTCCAGTCGAATTGGAGTCTGAGGCGCTTGCAGAGACTGCAGCACAACCGGAACGGGAACGATTGGTTGAGCGTGTCGGTGAGATGGAGGCGGAATATGGTGAAGTTGGTGAAGGCGTATTTGAAGGGGAGACGGAAGCCGAGTCGGCAGTCGAAGTGTTCGGTGAGAGATTGGGGCAAGTTGAAGCGGACGCAGAAAGTGAAGCGGTAGAACAGGTTGAATCGGAACGTGTGTCTGTGTTCGCTCCAGTCGAATTGGAGTCTGAGGCGCTTGCAGAGACTGCAGCACAACCGGAACGGGAACGATTGGTTGAGCGTGTCGGTGAGATGGAGGCGGAATATGGTGAAGTTGGTGAAGGCGTATTTGAAGGGGAGACGGAAGCCGAGTCGGCAGTCGAAGTGTTCGGTGAGAGATTGGGGCAAGTTGAAGCGGACGCAGAAAGTGAAGCGGTAGAACAGGTTGAATCGGAACGTGTGTCTGTGTTCGCTCCAGTCGAATTGGAGTCTGAGGCGCTTGCAGAGACTGCAGCACAACCGGAACGGGAACGATTGGTTGAGCGTGTCGGTGAGATGGAGGCGGAATATGGTGAAGTTGGTGAAGGCGTATTTGAAGGGGAGACGGAAGCCGAGTCGGCAGTCGAAGTGTTCGGTGAGAGATTGGGGCAAGTTGAAGCGGACGCAGAAAGTGAAGCGGTAGAACAGGTTGAATCGGAACGTGTGTCTGTGTTCGCTCCAGTCGAATTGGAGTCTGAGGCGCTTGCAGAGACTGCAGCACAACCGGAACGGGAACGATTGGTTGAGCGTGTCGGTGAGATGGAGGCGGAATATGGTGAAGTTGGTGAAGGCGTATTTGAAGGGGAGACGGAAGCCGAGTCGGCAGTCGAAGTGTTCGGTGAGAGATTGGGGCAAGTTGAAGCGGACGCAGAAAGTGAAGCGGTAGAACAGGTTGAATCGGAACGTGTGTCTGTGTTCGCTCCAGTCGAATTGGAGTCTGAGGCGCTTGCAGAGACTGCAGCACAACCGGAACGGGAACGATTGGTTGAGCGTGTCGGTGAGATGGAGGCGGAATATGGTGAAGTTGGTGAAGGCGTATTTGAAGGGGAGACGGAAGCCGAGTCGGCAGTCGAAGTGTTCGGTGAGAGATTGGGGCAAGTTGAAGCGGACGCAGAAAGTGAAGCGGTAGAACAGGTTGAATCGGAACGTGTGTCTGTGTTCGCTCCAGTCGAATTGGAGTCTGAGGCGCTTGCAGAGACTGCAGCACAACCGGAACGGGAACGATTGGTTGAGCGTGTCGGTGAGATGGAGGCGGAATATGGTGAAGTTGGTGAAGGCGTATTTGAAGGGGAGACGGAAGCCGAGTCGGCAGTCGAAGTGTTCGGTGAGAGATTGGGGCAAGTTGAAGCGGACGCAGAAAGTGAAGCGGTAGAACAGGTTGAATCGGAACGTGTGTCTGTGTTCGCTCCAGTCGAATTGGAGTCTGAGGCGCTTGCAGAGACTGCAGCACAACCGGAACGGGAACGATTGGTTGAGCGTGTCGGTGAGATGGAGGCGGAATATGGTGAAGTTGGTGAAGGCGTATTTGAAGGGGAGACGGAAGCCGAGTCGGCAGTCGAAGTGTTCGGTGAGAGATTGGGGCAAGTTGAAGCGGACGCAGAAAGTGAAGCGGTAGAACAGGTTGAATCGGAACGTGTGTCTGTGTTCGCTCCAGTCGAATTGGAGTCTGAGGCGCTTGCAGAGACTGCAGCACAACCGGAACGGGAACGATTGGTTGAGCGTGTCGGTGAGATGGAGGCGGAATATGGTGAAGTTGGTGAAGGCGTATTTGAAGGGGAGACGGAAGCCGAGTCGGCAGTCGAAGTGTTCGGTGAGAGATTGGGGCAAGTTGAAGCGGACGCAGAAAGTGAAGCGGTAGAACAGGTTGAATCGGAACGTGTGTCTGTGTTCGCTCCAGTCGAATTGGAGTCTGAGGCGCTTGCAGAGACTGCAGCACAACCGGAACGGGAACGATTGGTTGAGCGTGTCGGTGAGATGGAGGCGGAATATGGTGAAGTTGGTGAAGGCGTATTTGAAGGGGAGACGGAAGCCGAGTCGGCAGTCGAAGTGTTCGGTGAGAGATTGAGGCAAGTTGAAGCGGACGCAGAAAGTGAAGCGGTAGAACAGGTTGAATCGGAACGTGTGTCTGTGTTCGCTCCAGTCGAATTGGAGTCTGAGGCGCTTGCAGAGACTGCAGCACAACCGGAACGGGAACGATTGGTTGAGCGTGTCGGTGAGATGGAGGCGGAATATGGTGAAGTTGGTGAAGGCGTATTTGAAGGGGAGACGGAAGCCGAGTCGGCAGTCGAAGTGTTCGGTGAGAGATTGGGGCAAGTTGAAGCGGACGCAGAAAGTGAAGCGGTAGAACAGGTTGAATCGGAACGTGTGTCTGTGTTCGCTCCAGTCGAATTGGAGTCTGAGGCGCTTGCAGAGACTGCAGCACAACCGGAACGGGAACGATTGGTTGAGCGTGTCGGTGAGATGGAGGCGGAATATGGTGAAGTTGGTGAAGGCGTATTTGAAGGGGAGACGGAAGCCGAGTCGGCAGTCGAAGTGTTCGGTGAGAGATTGGGGCAAGTTGAAGCGGACGCAGAAAGTGAAGCGGTAGAACAGGTTGAATCGGAACGTGTGTCTGTGTTCGCTCCAGTCGAATTGGAGTCTGAGGCGCTTGCAGAGACTGCAGCACAACCGGAACGGGAACGATTGGTTGAGCGTGTCGGTGAGATGGAGGCGGAATATGGTGAAGTTGGTGAAGGCGTATTTGAAGGGGAGACGGAAGCCGAGTCGGCAGTCGAAGTGTTCGGTGAGAGATTGGGGCAAGTTGAAGCGGACGCAGAAAGTGAAGCGGTAGAACAGGTTGAATCGGAACGTGTGTCTGTGTTCGCTCCAGTCGAATTGGAGTCTGAGGCGCTTGCAGAGACTGCAGCACAACCGGAACGGGAACGATTGGTTGAGCGTGTCGGTGAGATGGAGGCGGAATATGGTGAAGTTGGTGAAGGCGTATTTGAAGGGGAGACGGAAGCCGAGTCGGCAGTCGAAGTGTTCGGTGAGAGATTGGGGCAAGTTGAAGCGGACGCAGAAAGTGAAGCGGTAGAACAGGTTGAATCGGAACGTGTGTCTGTGTTCGCTCCAGTCGAATTGCAGTCTGAGGCGCTTGCAGAGACTGCAGCACAACCGGAACGGGAACGATTGGTTGAGCGTGTCGGTGAGATGGAGGCGGAATATGGTGAAGTTGGTGAAGGCGTATTTGAAGGGGAGACGGAAGCCGAGTCGGCAGTCGAAGTGTTCGGTGAGAGATTGGGGCAAGTTGAAGCGGACGCAGAAAGTGAAGCGGTAGAACAGGTTGAATCGGAACGTGTGTCTGTGTTCGCTCCAGTCGAATTGGAGTCTGAGGCGCTTGCAGAGACTGCAGCACAACCGGAACGGGAACGATTGGTTGAGCGTGTCGGTGAGATGGAGGCGGAATATGGTGAAGTTGGTGAAGGCGTATTTGAAGGGGAGACGGAAGCCGAGTCGGCAGTCGAAGTGTTCGGTGAGAGATTGGGGCAAGTTGAAGCGGACGCAGAAAGTGAAGCGGTAGAACAGGTTGAATCGGAACGTGTGTCTGTGTTCGCTCCAGTCGAATTGGAGTCTGAGGCGCTTGCAGAGACTGCAGCACAACCGGAACGGGAACGATTGGTTGAGCGTGTCGGTGAGATGGAGGCGGAATATGGTGAAGTTGGTGAAGGCGTATTTGAAGGGGAGACGGAAGCCGAGTCGGCAGTCGAAGTGTTCGGTGAGAGATTGGGGCAAGTTGAAGCGGACGCAGAAAGTGAAGCGGTAGAACAGGTTGAATCGGAACGTGTGTCTGTGTTCGCTCCAGTCGAATTGGAGTCTGAGGCGCTTGCAGAGACTGCAGCACAACCGGAACGGGAACGATTGGTTGAGCGTGTCGGTGAGATGGAGGCGGAATATGGTGAAGTTGGTGAAGGCGTATTTGAAGGGGAGACGGAAGCCGAGTCGGCAGTCGAAGTGTTCGGTGAGAGATTGGGGCAAGTTGAAGCGGACGCAGAAAGTGAAGCGGTAGAACAGGTTGAATCGGAACGTGTGTCTGTGTTCGCTCCAGTCGAATTGGAGTCTGAGGCGCTTGCAGAGACTGCAGCACAACCGGAACGTGAACGTTTTATTGAGGGCGTTGTTGGGGTTGAGCGGGATGATTTCGATAGTTTTCCCTCTCTTGACGTTTTATCCTGTTATCCTTCGTCTTCTTGTAGATTTGATGATTGTGTTCTTTTCCTGTTTCTGGTTTATCTGACACTTCTTCCAGTCTTTATCCTGATTATTCCTATGATCTGGCAAATCTTGTTGTGTTCCTTCATTGTCTGATCGTCAGTGTTCTAGTTTCCTTCTGTTGTTAGTTCGTGCTCTGAACCGCTTTCTTCTTCTCATGCTCTTACAATTTGTCATGATGTTTCTTCTACACCTGTTGCTTCTTTCGTTCTCTCAAATGTGTCTAACGATCTTTCTTTTTCCTCTTCTTCCTCCCGTTTTGTTCATGCTGGTGTTTCTGACTTTACTCGTATGCCTTTAGATTCTGTGTCTTTATTTGATTCAATTGATTCAACGTTTGTTGCAGAAGGCTTATATCTCGGTCTCAGTCAATTTGTTTCCCGTTCATCGGAGTCCTTCACTGAAATTCCTAGCTTTGTTATAGAAGACAGCGTCATTTCTGTTGATGCTCCTGATGTTTGTTTCACTACGTACTCTGGAGAAAGTCTTGGAGAGTTGTCTGATTGTCGACAGGCTGGCATATCTTCAGTACATGATATTTCTGCAGAATCAGTGCCTTTCTTTATACCTGAAGCTTCAGTTCTTGCTGTATCGGGATATGAATACAAATCATTAAATGAACTTGGATCAAGCAATAGATTACCATCTATTGTTCAGGACACTGCAAATGTAGTGGATTCACATCATATTCGGGAAGTATCTGAGGAGGGCGTTATTGGTAAAGATTCTCCAATAACCAATGGTCAAATTGTTTTGCAAACTTCTGGCTCAGATCATTCCGCTTTTCGATGTGATCCTGAATATGGCATTTCAGATTATTCAAACAGCTTAATAACTGATAGTTTTGCTAAAATGATTATGAAAGAATCAAACCATGATACCGAAATCTTGTATTCACCTAAAGATCAAGATGCACTATGTTATCAGCTTCAATCAGGTGTGTCATTAGTAACTGAAACACCTACAAAGTCAGATGTTTTAGATAAATCTCCGCCCTCAGGAAAATCTGACTTGACTTATCTTGCAGCAGCATCAGGAGCAAGTGTAGCTATGGAATTTACTGAAGAGGAAGAGGAGGAAGATGAGTTCTCCATGGCGTGTCCTGGTAGGATGAAAACACTTGAACATGGTGATTCCAGTCAATTAGTTCATTCAGCTCTTGATAGGTCCGCTAAAATGCTTACTCGTCTTCAAACCTATGGATTTCGAGGGAATTTGATGGGTACAAATTCTCTTGTTAATCTTAATTGGCATGCATCAGAAACAAAATTAACCACTCCATGCATAGAGTTCCTCGAAAATGATGAGAAGACTATTTCATTAGCCCATCAAAATATACCTACATCAAACGTACATATGAATAAGGTCACAGAGCTCGATCGCGAAGAATATGAGGACTTTGATGGTGATAGTCTTGAAGAATTAAATATTCCATTTGAAATTTGTAATACATATAACACATCACGTGAAATAATCACAGATGAAACTGAATGTGGAAGCACTAGTCTGTTCCCGTTCCCTGAGACTGTTGCTACAAATCAAGTCTTCAACTATGACAATGAGTTAAAATCTGATACAGATTGTCAGCAAGACTCTTTTATTAAAAAAGAAGTATCTAGACGTCAACATTTAGATTCAGAACTTGTAATCTCCTCTCAATCCAGTTCCACTAAAAAGATTTCATTCAGCCCAGACTATGAATTACAAACAAGTTCCACTGCAGATGAATCTAGTTTAAGCAGTCACTCAACAATTGTGAATGTTGGAATAATGAACCAGTCACCAGTTGTCCCTCAACTTACAAGAGGAAATCTAATCGACGAAAAGCTATTGTCTCAGAGTTTATCATCTCAGGAACATGATTTTGGTGTAGATGCACCCGATAGTATTCAGCTACTGGAGTCAAAAACCACCCTAGCATCTATTGAAAGCGATCTTGATATTCTTGGTGAGGAAATAAAGCTAAAAGATGATAATGCTATGTTGCCACTTGGTCAGAATTCGGTTCACTTATCTAGCGTCGCTAAAAGAAAGCAATCAAATTTTATATCTAACCTATTAGGAACAGAGCCTGTGGTAGGAAGTACTGCATTACGAACATCTACAGATGTCAGTAACGTTCCAGTGTCGCAACCCATCTGTACTGCTGAAGGACATATCAAGACAACACAACGCTACTTTCATGAACCAATCGGAGGACATGTCAGTTTTCCACAAATTTCAGAGAGTTCTTGTGATAAACAGTTAAAATTTTCTAATGATCGGGCTAAATCCTCGCCATCCAGTATTAATGTGGAAAAAAGAATAGAAACAAGTGAGGAAAACGTTACCAGTAGCTCACTGTCCGAATTTGAACGACTAGAAAAAGAATTGGGTACTAGCAATTCTACTTCCCCTAGTAGTGGTCATAAAGGAAGTGGTGAAGATGTCAGTTCACATACGTCATCACTTTCTGAGTATCTACGTCATGAAAAAGAATGTGAAAGTTTCGATGAAATTCTGGCATTACCATTTGACTCAAAACTTAAACTAAAATTCAACGATTTAATAGATATAAATGGTAAACCAAAAACAGTGGTCACAGATATGTTGACTTCGAATAACCTAACACCACTTTATGGACAAATTTCAACGATTTACGAAGATGTGGCGGAACATCATATAAGTTCACTCTCACAGAGTATAGAATCTCCAACTACTTCACTTCATTCAGCTAAAGATGATGATCAAATATCATTTACATACTCAAGTCAAAAAGATGAAAATAAATCACAGACCGGTTGTTCTGATTCTGAACTTTTAATAATATGTTCGAAAATGCTCAGTGATCCTTTACAGGCCGAAAAATCTAAAGGAAGCTTAACTTCTAGTTCAGAAATAGAACTTTTGCTAGACAGGGTCGATGATCCACTGACAGGAGTAGAAGAAACTGATTCACTAATTTGTTCTTCGATCTATGACTCTTTAGTACCTTCTGGCTATGAAAACAGTATATACGATGGAACACCGAACATGAATTTCGGAGTAAATGATAACTGGAAAAACCGCATATCCCGTAGAATAGATTCATTAGATGAAAGCGAACATGAACAACCCAGTAAAGTTACTGACTCTCTCTGCTCCCCTTCATCGTCAGATATTTCAAACAGGAAAGGGGAAAACAAATTAAGTCCGCCGGAAGAAAATGATCAAGGTATCATAGAATTTAATTCTGCCCATATAGATATCTTACATCAACAATACATCGGGACTATCGTAGAGAAACAGTCTTGTACGGTATTTCCAAATAAATCTTGTTTTAATGAGAGGGAAAGCTCTATTACTTATGGAAAACAGCCTCAGTCAAAGCATTCTGATGAGAAGCAAGACTCAAGTACATCTGTGTCAGGAGTTGCACAGTATGAATACCTTGATAAGCCAGTACTTGGAAATTGTATGACAGACTCATTAGACGACAGCGGTTCAGTTATAGAACAACTAGGTACTAAAATATCTTCAACTGAATGTTCAGCAACCACTGAGTTTGTAACAACAGGAATACCTTCTTGTTCATTCTCTACAGCACCAATCCCCCTATTAGCTACTGAATCTAAAGCACTTAAATATTCTAAAGTTATAAAAACACTTAAAAGTGATGTTTCTTCAACGGTGGAAAAAGTTGCTGTTCCTACCACATCTGGGGCAATAGCTCTTCCAATATGTAGTAGTTCCTTACAAAGTACCTACCAAGATGGTGAAAGATATGATCTTATTTTAAAAATAGATTTGAACCCTCAGTCGACTGTATTCGATACTTCAGAAGATGAGATTTTTGTGGAAGAACCGTCAAATGATCTTCAACAACTGAATAGTGTAACGACTGATGACGTTTCAGCTGTAGCTGTAGATCCGAAAACGAAAGAAACCCTAAAAATCGATAATGTACCGTCAGGAGAAGTTAGTGAGGCATGTAAACATATCAAATGTAAAGAGTTCAAAGAGTCGTTCATAGTTGAAACTTCCTCCGACTCAGATTATGAAATGGTCAGTATCACTGAGAGAGAAAAGTCACCAATAGCTTTCATGTCAGAAAAAATGAAGAAGAGTAATGAACAAGAGTGAAAAAGAAAGAAAATAACAACCTTAACCTTGGTAATGATGATCTGAATGGGATTGTTTGGTCTTCTTCATATTATGTCAACATAAAGCGTACCTAATTTATTAATTCTGTCTTTTTATGTCAGATTTACAAAGCATTTATTTTCCTACCTACTATTACTGTTATGGTTACTGTGATTATTGTTATTTTTTGCATTTCCTTCCTTTAAATCAATTTATATTCAGACATAAGCACATTTAAAATTCCTAACACTTATCTGTTTATCGACGCCTAAGATACATATTTTAAATTTTTTGTCTATATAAATAAACTCAAAGTAGAAAGAAGCATAAAATATTGCTGATTTGTATATACACAAACACATAGACACAGTAGTACATACCCCAAACATATTTATACACATAAAACAGCCTTTTATGATACAGTGGAATTTGCTAAGCTGAACTTCAATTTTGGTCGACTACACTGGACTCATAAATCTGGATATGATTGGTACCGACTGTTTAGAAGCAATTTTTCAACCTATATGAAAATCAAAGGTATTCATAGTTTCTTTCGTTTTTCATCAATATGTTTTCCTTATGCTTTAGCTGCATTTGTAAGGCATGTTTATAATTTCTGTCTCATTAATTTCTCATCCGGTCTACTAACCAAACAATGAATAAACTATATTTTTTGTAATGTAGATAAGTTCTAAATATGCATGCAATACAAATCCAGTTTGAAGTACGTTTAGATTTAATACGCATGTTTTAATTAATTAATAGATTTACTAACCGTTGATACCCATCTTTTCCCATACCACTCCTCATCAGACTACTCAGTGGAAACAATAGTAGTTAAACTAATTTTATTCGTAACATTATCACAAAATTTATAGTATAACTGAAGTCTTTATTTCAGAAGGGAAAGTATTTCACAACTGTATATCTAATGATGAATTAGATCAATATCGCATTCATAATTAGTTTGAAGATTTGTTGACTGATTATTTGGAACACAGTTTATATTATCAGAATTTAAATTTGTTTCTCTTCAGTTTTAAGGTTCTTGATATTCTAACCACTAAATGTCATCCGGGATGCAAGACTGAGAACTTCAGATGGATCAAAAAAGGCTTAACAACTAAGTGAGAATCCGTTGATCAGCATTTTCTGCCTGCAATCGGTTTGTGTCACAGCTCACCTAACTATAAACTCTACAAGCAAGCAGTTGTTTATATTCATGAAACTTCTGCACATCGAAGATTCCTGTTAAAAAAATATTAAGATGACTCAGATTTCGGTAATCAAAACTGTTTTTAGATCAGAATATTGGACCAGATGTCTAAGTGTTTCTTATGGTTGAATATAAACTTAGCCATCGTACTATTAAGGATATTGTCATTCTACTAACAACTGATTTGCCTGTATAAATTTTCCATACAAACCTTTTACAAGATGTAAATTTAACAGAATGTAAGAGCGTTAGTTATTTTTGAGCTTCAGCTAATGAGTGAATGGAGTTTTCATCACATTTAACCTTGATGTACCCACACAGGAGGTGGTTAGCTTTTTATTGATACTGCGTATGGATTTCCTTGATATGCTGAAACATTGTATAGGCCCACATTAGCTCATTCTTCAAAATATAGTGGTCCTCTGTAAGCTTTAAGCAGTTGACTATAGATTCATGGATATAAGGTCTTATACCAAATCATCTCCTTGTCCATAATGTTCAGTCCTTATAATGTTTTTCTTGACAATGATGATCTCTAAAATACTCACGAAAGCATCTGTATTTTGAAAAACAGCATGAAAATGAACTAATATTTACAGTCGAACAAAAATCACACCATTTATTCCACACCCTAACAATTTAGAAAACTGTTAAATCTAAGTCGATTCTTGAATTTATTAATTGGTCATAGAACTCAGAAGATCTGTATTACTCACAAAATTTACGTGATAACATAATGAGCTATAAATCTGCTTTTTTCTACTATCTCAATGTATCCGATTGTGCAATCGCTTGGAGACTACGTGGCAAATGATAGTTTTTTCATCCAAACGCTTAGACTTCCATGACGAACCGTGATGAATAAATCTGTTTCTACTGTCTCACTACAGTGTGTGATAAGAAAAACTCTGGGCTAATGAATAAAAACTTTTGTGTTGATTTACTTAACTTTGTTTATGATTGGATTTTTATTACTTTATTTCACATCTTGACTGAGTAACGTAAAATCTATCAATGATGATTGTTAACTTGGCAAGACATTCTTGAGGAATATTGATAAGAATGTCAATTATTTTTACGCACAAACGTAGCTTTACTGGGAAACTAAACATTCTCTCTAACGAATGAGTGGATATTCTACTGAAATAAGAATTGCTTTTGAAGATGAGCCCTCTTTTTTATCACTCGGTTAAAAACACAGAAAAGCTTCTTATCCCCATATTTTACATATTCATTTTAAGAGTTTGACTAGGCAAACATAAAAATAACTAATTATGTTTTCAGGATGTTCTCGTGTAAATATTAAAAGTAAATCCATTTGTTATAAAAGAGAATGTTAATATTACTTTCTAATCACGTTATATCGGAACCAAGATTTGCGGCCCAAAATGGAGAACCAGCTTAACACTAAAGAATACTTTATTCAATACAATTACACACCGTGAGTCAGGAGTAGAAAGCAATGATAAAAAAGAAAATCACACATTTAACGGTCCGCAACCTGTGGCTGTTTGTCCACGCTCAATGACAAATCATATTTTACTCTCATTACCACACATCAGAGACGAACATTCTCACATTTTCGAACTAGTTTAATTTTGATTTAAGAACCAATAAATAAATTTAAAAAACTTGTGTGATCTGATAAGAAAAAAATATTTTGAAGTTGGTTGGTCTTCGTTTACAACCAAACAATCCCTTTTTTCCATGGAATTTCATCTATTACTGCTGAATCACACATAATCAAAGAGATAAATTTATTTGAGATTTAGGGCGTTTACATATACCCCCGAATCTATAACTAAGCATTGTTTTGTTAAGTAATCAAATTTCGTTTTTTAGTTCTACTTTCTGTTTTTATTGGTTATTTACAGCATTTTGATGAATGATTACGGTTACAAAATTCGCAGAAAATTACAAGATATTCAATGTCTCCAACTTCTACAAAAACTTGAAAAAGGTTCAAGAAAAACAGAAGCGTTATTATGCTACTATTTAAAATTCTTAGACAGTAATACATGTCTGTGTGTGTATTTTTTTAAATGACTTTTATCGAATTCAACGGAAAAAAAGAACTCGTTCGTACTGTCTAACGCACAATCTCTTAATCACCAAACAAGCTGGTCAAATCTCACTGAATTCGTCAAAACTAGAGACCACAAAACATTTTTGATAAAAATATTTCTATATTAACCAACTGAAATTTGATTTACCCCCGTTTGCATTACATAATGTTGTTTATTGCTAAAATGTCAGTTCATGAGAGATTTATTTGAACTCAAAATTTAATCTAACGAAAATAATCGCACCGTTAAAATACCTCATTATTTGTTGAACTTTTGAGAACGTCTTACTCTTAAACTCTGGATAAGCTTAATTGGAAAGTAAGCAGAATTAACGAAAAATCATTAGGGTACGAGAAAACTTAAACTGCACCCAACATCTTTACTGAACCATCTACTCCAACGTAATTTAACACACAACTAAACATGACAAAATGTGCATGCTTTATATGAGTTATGGCATTTGCATTCATCTACTTCACTACCCGTTACTGCAAACACTCATAAAGATTGTGTTACTCTATTTACTATGTTTCAGGTTTTCTTGCTTTCTCATTATTTCCTCATCTAATTTGACCTTTTACTCACTTCATATTAGTATTTTTGTTCGAGTTTGAAATAATTTTAGTCAGAGAACCCTATGAAAAGCCATTTATGCCATCAAAAATATGCTTACTCATCGTGTCATCTGTTCCGAAGTTCCTCTGAGGAATGTATCTTTTACACCTTTCATTCTCGCATCGAATACGAAAAAGACAAAGCCTCTTCGTTTTCCTTTTCATATGAAGTGAATTTTGTTTCGAATTCATTTTTATTTGCAATTTCAACTGTCCGCTTTTGTATGTTTTTCATTTTTGAATTTCAATTCACTTGCCTATTTTTCTTTCCCCAACTATTTACGTAAAATGCTATTTTGCTTGCTTTTTTAGATTTCATTTTTATTTCCCTGATTTTTATCTTTTTTTGAGGAGTGAGATGAGAAAGATGGGGAAAGGGGGTAGAGGGAGAAAGGAAGTTAATGAAGAAAATAATACACACAGATTACAACTGCCATTTATATCCACTTCTATGTAAGATATGAATATTAAAGTAGATGTACTATTTTTATTCACATTTCCGTCTAAACTCGTACTTTCTCTCTCTATTTCTCTTAAATTTTGCTCGATTAGCTTGGAAAAAGATTCATGCATAACCATACAGCATTTTTGAGATAAAAATACTTTGATGAATGATCTTTTCGTGAACAACAGTGGGGTTTCGGTTTTGTTAGTAACATTTTTCATGAATGAAATATGGTGAGGTGGTCAACAGTAAGACTCTAGATGATATTTTTGTTCAGGCGATTTCATTATCTTTCATATCTTTCACCCGTATATTCTGTCAAATATGATAATTAATTTGCGTAAAAATACTACAGCATACTAAGCTAACACCTCTTAAATTTTAATGGTTTATTCAAATCGTCGTGTAAGCAAAACCAAATGGAAGTGAGCCACCAAATGAAATACAGTGATTAGAGTCACTTTGTAAATGTATGGAGAGAGAAACCTAAGAATTTCAATTCGTCTCCAAATCTCAGTTATGGTTTTGAAACTATGCCAACCTAAAATAGTGTTTGGCGATTGTACAATTCTTTGTTATGACTTGGTTTATTCACGTGATTGCAATAAATAACCGGATGACTTAACGACAAAGACAGACCCTGACTCATTCGACACAAT